CATAGCTTATCTAGGACCATGCCATCTCATTATGAGACCAAAGGGAGACTATGAACAGTAAAAACGACTTTCCTAAAATATAACTTTCTTTCCCGCTCCACCATCCTATCCGTCTGTCCTCCTGCCATCCATCAAAGCATGAAGGCACAGACGCAGTCGTAGCATTTCGCTTCGAGGCGCTTCTGTGCAACGTACCCTAGGGGCTGGTAAAACGGAGAGCTGAAGATAACATTTCTCATTCTTCCCTCTGTAAGTCTTCAGAGGTCAGGGGTCAGAGCTGTTCGACAACGTTTGGCAACTGAACGTGTCCCAGGTCTGACTCCTATTTCAGCACCTCTGCGGGATTGGACAGTGACTAAAGACAGTCATAACTTCTACCTCTCTCTGTTTATATACATTACACAGGCCATAGCTTGAAGTGATGCACTCTGCAGTAATGCAGACTATATGAAGTGATGTACTCTGGGACACATACTGTGGGTGTTTAGTGCTGGGTACAGTCGGGACATTTGTGTGTGTGTGTGAGCCTGCATGCGTGCGTGCCTGTGTGAGTGGGTGGTGCAGAGGCGTGCTATCTGCAGCTGGGACATGTCCACTCACAGTCCTTAGAAGGAGACATGCCCTCACCCTCCTCACACACACACACACACACACACACACACACACACACACACACACACCAAATGGGGCAGGATATAAAATGTGTTTAAACTCTTTTTCCTTTCCTCCTCTACCTCCACGTTGTGTTTTTCTAACATTTTGTTATCTATTTGTTTATGACCTCAGTTTCATTACCTAGCTCTGTTACAGATGTTTGGTCTGCCTAGAGTGTGTGTGTGTGTATGTGTGTGTATGTGTGTGTGTGTGTGTGTGTGTGTGTGTGTGTGTGTGTGTGTGTGTGTGTGTGTGTGTGTGTGTGTGTGTGTGTGTGTGTGTGTGTGTGTGTGTGTGGGTGTGTGTGTGTGTGTGTGTGTGTGTGTCTTCCAATAGTTTTATACGAGACAGACACACAGAGAGAATACAAACACCATAAATTACCCTAGCCCCAGGCTGTATCATGTTGTACTAGAGGGGTGACATTGTTGGTTTGGCTAACAGAAACAGTGTCCTCCTTTACTCTATCGGAGTCATCAGTGAGATTTACTAGCAGCCATTGACTCATTTTATACTTCATTGACTCACACACGCTCACACATTATAGGCTGTTCTCTAATGGATCTCTGGGGCAATCACTGTTCAAAACACATGGGTTAATCTGTCTCTTTTCTTTTTCTCTTCTTTTCTCCCTCCCCATCTCTCTGTAGGGCCCGCTTGGATTGGATGGCAAACCAGTGAGTATCTATTTGACAGATGAATGAAACATCCTCAAATTTTACTGCAATCTTTGATTGGTTTCACCTCTGTGACTCTCTCTCCTCTTCATAGGGTCTCCCGGGTCCTAAAGGAAGTCAGGTACGTTCATTCCTCTCCTTCCTGCAGTGGTTGTCATGTTGTTGTGAGTGGGAAACACATCAAAGTTACAGGGATATAATATAATATTCTACACATGTTCATGTATTTAAGTCTGTGAACCCAGGTGAGTATTGGAATCTGTAAGCCAGGTGACTCGTTTCTGCATGTCATCAATCGTTATTTATTGTCCCAGTTGGAAAATACAGCTATAGTGAGTTGGCCAGGTTACCATAAGTAGCAATCATGTAATCCAGCCAAAAGTTGTTCCAGCCTCTCCAGACCTCATTGGAGTCATGGCTCAGCTCTGCCTGAGGACAGAGCACTGAAACTCCTATACACTCCAGCACTGGGGCCTATCTATCAGCCAGTCCCTGGCGGTCCACTTCCCCAACACACTGCCCTACACACACACACTCACTCACAGGGAGAAAGAAGATTGGAGATAGGGGGAACAGCCGAGGTGAAGAGAATGGGTTACACACAACGCAAAGGAGAGAGAGAGAGAGAGGGTGGAAAAGAGAGAGAGAGAGTTTATTACTTTTGACAGAGGCTCTTTAAAAAGGCATTACTACGGCCCCCTTGCTCAGCCTCAGCCACCAAGAGAGGACCCATTTATCCACTGAAACATAGAACACTTGCAGAGCACTGAGAGCGGTTTGAATAGCACTTTCCCCAAACATCATTAATCAGTTGTTTACTGCTAAAGAAGATGTCAAACTGGGGTTGTCACAGGCCTTCTTACTGTGTTTTTACTGATGGGCGACCTAAAAACACGCCACACCTTAGAGGAGGAGGGACAGGAGAGAGGGATGTGAGTGGAAGAGGGAAGGAAGAGAAAGGTGGAAATGGAGGAAGAGAGGGAGATAAGGAGAGGGAAGTGGTAAAGAGAAAGGATAAATGGAGGATAAAAAATGTCCAGGGCAAGTGACTTTGAGAGGAGAGAGGAGAGAGCAAAAGAAGAGAGAGAGAAAAAGAGACAGAAGAAGAAGAGTGAGAGGTTGGAGGTCCAGACAGCTTCATGCCCTGATCTTCCCCCCTCCCTTTCTCCCTCTCTTCCCCTCTCTTCCTCTCTGTCTCTCTGTCTCTCTTCCTCTCTGTCTCTCTGTCTCTCTGTCTCTCTGTCTCTCTTCCTCTCTGTCTCTCTGTCTCTCTTCCTCTGTCTCTCTGTCTCTCTTCCTCTCTGTCTCTCTTCCTCTCTGTCTCTCTGTCTCTCTGTCTCTCTTCCTCTCTGTCTCTCTGTCTCTCTGTCTCTCTGTCTCTCTTCCTCTCTGTCTCTGTCTCTCTGTCTCTCTTCCTCTCTGTCTCTCTTCCTCTCTGTCTCTCTGTCTCTCTGTCTCTCTGTCTCTCTGTCTCTGTCTCTGTCTCTGTCTCTCTTCCTCTCTGTCTCTCTTCCTCTCTGTCTCTCTGTCTCTCTGTCTCTCTGTCTCTATGTCTCTGTCTCTTCTTCTGTCTCTCTGTCTCTCTTCCCTCTGTCTCTGTCTCTCTTCTCTCTGTCTCTCTTCCTCTCTGTCTCTCTGTCTCTCGTCTCTCTTCCTTCTGTCTCTCTGTCTCTCTGTCTCTCTGTCTCTCTGTCTCTCTGTCTCTCTCCTCTCTGTCTCTTCTCTCTGTCTCTCTTCCTCTGTCTCTCTCACTCTCTGTCTCTCTGTCTCTCTTGCTCTACTCGTCTTCTTCCTCTTCCTGTCTCTCTTCCTCCTCTGTCTCCTCTTCTCTGTCTCGTCTCGTCTCCTTCTCTCTGTCTCTCCTTCCTCTCTGTCTCTCTTCTCTCTGTCTCTCTGCTCTTGCCCTGTCCTGTCTCTTTCCTTCAGATCTACGTCTTCTCCTCTGTCCCTTCCCATCTGCTCTATCTCCTCTTCATCCTCTATCTCTCTCCCTCTGTCTCTCTTCTCGCTACGCTACGCTCTCTTTCCTCTATCCTCTATCTGCCACTACAACCAGATTACCTACTCCTTTCCCAGCTGCGGAATCTCGCATACCCCTTGCACCCTTTCTCTATCTCCCTGTCTACACCCATACTCACACGAGAAAACAATATCCCCCACTTCACCCCAGCTCATCCCCCTTCCCACACAACCCCTCCCCTATCTCCCCTCTTTCCCCTCACATCCCCTACTCTTTCTCTACATTTGTCAGCCCCTTCTCCACTCACTTCCTTTCCCTGTCTTAAGGCTGAAACTTCAGCATACCCAGTCTAGGAGAGAAACACAGAAATACTCTTTCTCACACACACATGCACACACACACACACACACACACACACACACACACACACACACACACACACACACACACACACTGAGCCCAGCTCAGCCTGTCGACCAGCAGGACATTACTAGCAGATGTCCCCTACAGCTCTCCAGTACGGTCGATGACAGTGGGTTTGTGATCATAGTGCGGTCTGCGGTCTGGAGCCACGTTCACAGTCCCAGTGCCACCTGTCATCAGATGGTTCAGTGTGACTGAGAGGTGGGCGAGAGGATGGCCCGTAGCGAGGGTTAGCTCATCTATGAGTCCACTGTCCATAGGGGAATTACTCAGCCAGTCAACCAGTCAAATCATCCCTATCACACACAGCATGTCAATATAGCATTAGCTCAGTCAAAGCATAGCTTCAGTGTGCTGTGGCTGCCAACCCCTTAGCGATAATAGTGACTGGTTCCTCTCCAGTCTCCATACCGAACAACACAGTTCTACCTCATTAGCTAGCTTCCTGCTTCACCGGGCTCAGCCGAATACAATACTAACCTACAATAATTACATACAACAACCCACGATAACTACCTACAATACATAACTACAATCTAAATACATAGTTTAAGCTTGACTCGACAAAGGCCCAAACTATGTATCCACCATCCCCACAGTGAAGCATGGTGGTGGCAGCATCATGCTGTGGGGATGTTTTTCATCGGCAGGGACTGGGAAACTGGTCAGAATTGAAGGAATGATGGATAGCACTAAATACAGGGAAATTATTGAGGAAAACCTGTTTCAGTCTTCCAGAGATTTGAGACTGGGACGGAGGTTCACCTTCCAGCAGGACAATGACCCTAAGCATACTGCTAAAGCAACACTTTAGTGGTTTAAGGGGAAACATTTAAATGTCTTGGAATGGCCTAGTCAAAGCCCAGACCTCAATCCAATTGAGAATCTGTGGTATGACTTAAAGATTGCTGTACACCAGCGCAACCCATCCAATGATACAAACCCCCCAAAAATCAATTTTAATTCCAAGTTGTAAGGCAACAAAATAGGAAAAATGCCAAGGGGGGTGATTACTTTTGCAAGCCACTGTATGGGACAAAATCATCACCTTGCGTGATTCTGTTTGATTGAATGCCATTCCCTGGTTGTTAATAGTTAATCAAGGAGATATGTATCTTATTGTTGGAGTTAGATCACCCCAGAGTCTTCTTAAAAAGATCCTGTCAGAATATTATTTTTCCACTGATGATTAGCGTCACACACAGAAAAGAACTGATTTATAAGAAGTGATTTTTTTTTCTTCTGTCTAACCTACTGTCTCTCATTATTTCTCCTTTTTCTCCAGGGACCAGCCGGACTCAAGGGAGATAAGGTATGTTCAGTTGTTATTGTCAGTATGTCCTTGTCTACGCTTGATTATATGTTTTTATGTATGCAAAGTGCAGCAACCCAAATTTCCCAACAGGGATAATAAAGCCATTATCTTATTTTGTGTTGATGGTTGTTGTCCTCTTGTGTGTCCTCTACAGGGTGACCAAGGAGACATTGGGCCCAGGGTAAGTCTCTCTCCCTCTCTCTCCCTCTCTCAACCCTTTTCCCTATCTCCATCGATCTCTCTAACTGTTGAAGTAAATGATGTGGGGTATTTTGTTACATTACAGCCTTATTCTAAAAGGTATAAAATTATTAATTTTTTCTCATCAGTTTACACACAATACCCCATAATGACAAAGTGAAAGCAGGTTTTTAGAAATTAAAAAGAAAACTGAAATACCTTAATTATTCAGACCCTTTCATATGAGACGTGAAATTGAGCTTAGGTGCATCCTGTTTCCATTGATCAACCTTGAGATGTTTTTACAACTTGATTGGAGTCCACCTGTGGTAAATTCAATTGATTGGACATGATTTGGAAAGACACACACCTGTCTATATAAGGTCCCACATTTGACAGTGCATGTCAGAGCAGAAAACCAAGCCATGAGGTCGAAGGAATTGTCCGTAGAGCTACGAGACAGGATTGTGTCGAGGCACAGATATTTGGAAGGGTACCAAAAAATGTCTGCAGCATTGAAGGTCCCCAAGAACACAGTGGCCTCCATCATTCTTAAATGGAAGACGTTTGGAATCATCAATACTCTTCCTAGAGCTGGCTGCCCGGCCAAACTGACCAATCGGGGGAGAAGAGCCTTGGTCAGGGAGGTGACCAAGAACCCGATGGTCACTCTGACAGAGCTTCAGAGTTCCTCTGTGAAGATGGGAGAAACTTCCAGAAGGACAACCATCTCTGCAGCACTCCACCAATCAGGCCTTTATGGTAGAGTGGCCAGACGGAAGCCACTCCTCAGTAAATGGCACATGACAGCCCACTTGGAGTTTGCCAAAAGGCACCAAAAGGACTCTCAGACCATGAGAAACAAGATTCTTTGGTCTGATGAAACCAAGCTTGAACGCTTTGGCCTGAATGCTAAGCGTCACGTCTGGAGGAAACCTGCGGCACCATCCCTACGGTGAAGCATGGTGGTGGCAGCATCATGCTGTGGGGATGTTTTTCAGCGGCAAGGACTTGGAGACTAGTCAAGATCGAGGGAAAGATGAACGGAGCAAAGTACAGAGAGCTCAGGACCTCAAACTGGGGCGAAGGTTAACAACGACCCTAAGCATACAGCCAAGTCTCTGAATGTCCTTGAGTGGCCCAGCCAGAGCCTGGACTTGAACCCGATCTAATATCTCTGGAGAGACCTGAAAATAGCTGTGCAGGTACGCTCCCTATCCAACCTGACAGAGCTTGAGAGGATCTGCAGAGAAGAATGGGAGAAACTCCCCAAATACAGGTGTGCCAAGCTTGTAGCGTCATACCAAGAAGACACGAGGCTGTAATCGCTGCCAAAGGTGCTTCAACAAAGTACTGAGTAAAGGGTCTGAATACTTATGCAAATGTGATATATTTTATATATTTTTTATATATATATATTTGCAAAAATTAATAAAAACCTGTTTTGCTTTGTCATTATGGGGTATTGTGTGTAGATTGTTGAAGGGGAAAAAACAATTTAATACATTTTAGAATAAGGCTGTAACGTAACAAAATGTGGAAAAAGTCAAGGGGTCTAAATACTTTCCGAATGCACTGTACGTACAGTATACTGTATGTATGCACCTGACCTGAGGAAATTCAAGCAACGAGGGCGTTTGTATGAATACAGCACCTCAGCTCTTGTTCTCCCCGATTAGGTATAACTTCCCAAACTCTATAATCTGTTCTCTGGCTCCGTTTGTATCACCCCCTCCCTCCCTCACCCTCCTGTTCCCCCTCTCCCTGCAGATTAGGGTAATGGTCCATCCCAAATGGAGAATAAAGGCGATGGGGAGAGGGTGGAGGGGAATTGGCTCTCTGTGGAGTATTTATAACATCTGAAAAACACTCCGCTCTCATCATTCATCATCGCCTTGTTAATACATGCATAGAAATACATAGAGAAACACACACACACACACACTGACTGCAGATCATTAGTTCCTTATTTTCATTACCGGTCTTTACACACACCATTAACACACTGCATATTTCATCTGATCATTTAGGCGAGGTGGTGTGTGTGTGGGTGCGTGAATTTGTGCGTGTGTGTACACGTGTTTTCTCAACGTAACTAGCACGACGGCCGACGGCCGAACACAGAACTCACTCTTCTTCTTCTGATGAGGTTTTAAAAGCTTTTAAAAGCTCCACAAATCTCAACCCCCCCCCCACCCCGTTCCAGTCAAATATGAGAAATTATGCCATTTAAGTATGATGGAAATACTTATACTTCACCGTGGAAACCCCAAAACTAGGACTCCGAGCCAGAACTAGCATCCAGAGGGGACCGGTCTCCTCCAAACCATCTCTTTTTACATTGTGGGGTAACCTCTCTCTGCATCTGGAGTATGCTGTCATTGTTGCCTTTTCATGATGTGATATCATCCATCCCTGTATTTAACATATATATAATTATCTCCTACTTTACTCAGTGCATGTCCAAAAACTGCTCCCCTGGGCATATCTGGTGTGGACGATTCTGTAAGAAGTCATGGCCTTAGATTAACGGTTTACAGTACTGTATTTCTTATCACTGTGCTTAATGAGGTTACTCTGGGTTAGGTCACAGATTACAGGTAAACGTTGTCTCCTACCTACTGTTGGTAAGAGCCCTTCTTTATATACTCAGCTACTGCTCTTTCTCTCTGTCAGAGGATGCATCCCAAATGGTACCCTATTCCCATTATAGTGCACTACTTTTGACCAAATATAGGAACTAGGGTGCCATTTGGGATGCAACTACTGTCTCTCATTCACATCTCATTCTGAACCACACTCTGGTGTTTGTGAGATATTGCGAGATATTGCTATTATATGTCAACAGAGGACAAACACAGTGGTATTTACGACATGGTCAGCAACATTGATGAAATTCCTGACTTTTATCTAGCCATAAGTCCCTTTGGTTTCCCAGCCCACCAGCCAATCCTGCTAGATATTGAGGTAATTTTCTGTGTGGTAATGAATCCCTTTTGCATTCTGCATTAGCTATTGCGCCAAAGGATAAATATTGTACTTGGATGCGGCGCCTGTAGCTGCGATCTGCCTGGGTAACTTTAGAGACACAAAGGATTGCTTAGAAGCACACATTTTTCCAAAACAAAGCAGCTCGCAGCCTGCTACAGTATTTGCAGCTGACAATTTACACGTTGCTGGGTGATTGGGTGTTGATAGATTAGGTGACAAGTGTCAGCCAATTAGAGGGAAGGTACTCTCAGAGTCAGTATATGCTCCTGAATGAGAGTTTTGAGGTATACATATCAACTATTTGCATTTGTTGTCTAAGTTAGCAGGACTTGATCATGTACTGAAGTAGATAGCAGGAGTACACACTTAACCAATGTGGTCCTGTGTGGCTCAGTAGGTAGAGCATGACACTTGCAACGTCAAAGGTTGTGGGTTTGATTCCTGCTGGGGCCACCTATATGTAAAACAAAATATATATATACAGTACCAGTCAAAGGTTTAGATACACCTACTCATTCCAGGGTTTTTCTTTATTTTTACTATTTTCTACATTGTAGAATAATGTTGAAATAACACATATGGAGTCATATAGTAACCAAAAAAGTGTTCAACAAATCAAAATATATTTTATATTTGAGATTCTTCAAATAGCCACCCTTTGCCTTGATGACAGCTTTGCACACTCTCAACCAGCTTCACCTGGAATGCATTTCCAACTGTCTTGAAGGAGTTCCCACATATGCTGAGCACTTGTTTGCTGCTTTTCCTTCACTCTGCGGTTTTCCTACACAGCCTGGAGGTGTGTTGGGTCATTGTCCTGTTGAAAAACAAATGATAGTCCCACTAAGCCCAAACCAGATGGGATGGCGTATCACTGCAGAATGCTGTGGTAGCCATGCTGGTTAAATGTGCCTTGAATTCTAAATAAATCACAGACAGTGTCACCAGCAAAGCACCCCCACACCATAACACCTCCTCCTCCATGCTTTAAGGTGGGAAATACACATGCAGAGATCATCCGTTCACCCACACCGCGTCTCACAAAGACACGGCGGTTGGAACCAAAAATCTCCAATTTGGACTCCAGACCAAAGGACACATTTCCACCGGTCTAATGTCCATTGCTTGTGTTTCTTGGCCTAAGCAAGTCTCTTCTTCCTGTTGGTGTCCTTTAGTAGTGGTTTCTTTGCAGCAATTAGACCATGAAGGCCTGATTCACACAGTCTCCTCTGAACACTTTCAAAGTTCTTGAAATGTTCCGTATTGACTGACCTTCATGTCTTAAAGTAATGATGGACTGTCGTTTCTCTTTGCTTATTTGAGCTGTTCTTGCCATAATATGGACTTGGTCTTTTACCAAATAGGGCTATCTTCTGTATTAAAGTAATGATGGACTGTCGTTTCTCTTTGCTTATTTGAGCTGTTCTTGCCATAATATGGACTTGGTCTTTTACCAAATAGGGCTATCTTCTGTATCACCCCCTACCTTGTCACAACACAACTGATTGGCTCAAATGCATTAAGAAGGAAATAAATTCAATAAATTAACGTTTAAGAAGGCACACCTGTTAATTGAAATGCATTCCAGGTGACTATCTCCTGAAGCTGGTTGAGAGAATGCCAAGAGTGTGCAAAGCTGTCATCAAAGCAAAGGGTGGCTACTTTGAAGAATCTCAAAATAAAATATTTTTTGATTTGTTTAACACTTTTTTGGTTACAACATGATTCCATATGTGTTATTTCATAGTTGTGATGTCTTCACTATTATTCTACAATGTAAAAATAGTAAATCGTAAAGAAAAACCCTTGAATGAGTAGGTGTGTCCACACTTTTTACTGGTAGTGTATATGCACGCGTGACTAAGTCACTTTGAATGAAATGATTTGCTGAATGGTATATGTTATTATCAATCCCACACTCAGTCAACACTGGGTTCTGATACCAACTCTCTCTCTGTACTCTCTACCTCTGCCCCCATTGGAGAGGATAAGAGGAGACGTACAAAAACAGGAAGTAGTCATGCATCACTGTCAGTGTGACTTCCTGTCGATCTGTCATCATTACTGCCAGTGTTGGCCCAGAAGTGGCCTCAGATCACAGAGACATGAAAAAATACTCAATAATATATAGAAAAACAGCCACCACTCTACCACAGAAAGATATCAAGATGACTTTACTCGAGGCTGTTCAAGGCACCTTTGAAGGAGGCGACAAACATTCTAGCTAAAGAGGCTCTCCATCTTTAAGACAAGACTCTTGACTGTTGCGTCCCAACAGACAGTAACTGTGCATTTAGGTTCATCTTCAGACTGCGATGAAAGACAAGCCATGGTGGGGTTTTACCCCAACCCAAGCTTTCCTCTCTCTTTCCCTCAATGTGGGTGAGATAGAGGGCATGGTGGATAGGAGCTTAGAAGCTAGACGATTGTTTGTCCTTACTGTCAGCCTGATGTTGGATGAGTAGGACCCAGAGTTTTCCACACACACACTGAGCCATGTGGTCAGAAATAACTCAGGTTGTACAGTGTGTATGAGGTATAGGGGATATGAGTGTGTAACAACCTTTCACTCTATAGTGAGACTCTGTGCTCTAAGGGATGATCATATGTGGTCTTCACGGTAGGAATAAGTGAGTGAATGAGACAGAAGAGGGGGGGATGAGAGGCTGTGGTGTCGGAAACCTCAGCTATCCAGCGATCACCGCAGCCCACTAATAGAAACCTCATGACCAGATTGGCATATCTCTCTCTCTTTCTCCCTCTCCCCCCCCCCCCCCCCCCCCCCCCCTCTCTCCCTCTCTCTCTCTCCCCCTGTGTCTCTGATCATCTTTTGCTTTCTCAATCTTTTTCTCTCTCTCTCTCTCTCTCTCTCCCTTTTCCTTGCCCTCGCCCACCAACTCTCTCTCTCCCTCTCTCCCATCCCTCTCTCCCATCCATTTGTTTTGTGAGGGAGGGAACTCAACCAGAGATGCAGGCCTCCGTATGAGTTATCTGCCGACAGACTTTCTATGTTCTTTTCAGCTTGAGTTGAAATGATCATAGTTACTGTCTGTTGGGCTCAACAAAACACAGCCTCCAAACACAGCCTTCTCTGTGGGTTGTATTTAAAGATATGCATTATTATAGAGTGAGTCACACAGATATTGGTTTACAAAGAAAGAAAGGGACATATACAGCAAATAGGTACAGACTGGTTCACATATACGTAGATATTGATTTCCTAGAGAATGAATGGATAGATAATGGAAAAGTCCCAGCCCCGACTATACATTATTATTTATAGTTGGTGCTATATGATGACTATTTAGTGGCTATGTCTAACTGGGTATGAAGAGATATGCGTACCGGTAGTATACAGATCAATCCTTCTACATTTTAACATCATAGCCACCCATGTGGCTAATGGACTGTCACACACCTGTTGTACATTTATCTTCGGTAGTTAGCTGCTACTTGAGGTCTGCGACCTTGTTACCGTGCATATACAGTAGCCACATGGTGCTCCACCTTTTCTCCAACAGGTGACTCACCCTCCTCTGTGTTTCTCCCCTCTCCTCCCCCCTCCTCCCCCAGGGCCCTCCTCCCCACAACTCATACGCAGGTCTGCACAGTAATCAGATCCTCACCGTTAAGGTTTGTCCCTCGCGCCCATCCGTAGCTTTGTCCTCCCAGCAGGCCTCTGCTGACCTGCCTGTCTCTCTCTGCTGGACTACAGTTGCTGGGTCACCTTTGACCTCTCAACCCTGACCTATCAACCCTGACCTCTTACCTGGAAGCTTACTCTGTCGGTCGATCTCTTCTCAGCACCTCACTCTGTCTCTCCTTGGAGAATGGAGGGAAACTTCAGCCTGAAATCGGTCCCTGACTTATTTAATCACTGATTTCTTTATTTTTCTTTCCCTCTATTTATTTTTCTCTATCCACCACTCTGTCTCTTTCTCTTTCAATCTCCTGCTCTGCACCCTCTCTGTGCTTCCCTCCATCCCTACTCTTCCTTTTTCCTCTCCTCCTCCTCCTCCTCCTCCTCCTCCTCCTCCTCCTCCTCCTCCTCCTCCTCCTCCTCCTCTTCTGTTCTCCTGGTTCAGATGGTCTTTCCCCGCTATGACCATGGCTTTATGTCTGGTGACCAGTCCAACTTTCAGAGACGCTTGATGAAGGTACACCTCCACTAAGGCATGTGTGCACCTCTAACCACCTTTAACCCTTTCACTGCTGGTTGATGTCTCTTATTCACTGCTTGATATCATATCTCTCAGCCTTTTCTTCATTATCTCTCTCTCTCTCTCTGTTGCTCCCTCACACTTCCACATCTCTCTGCTGCTTTCTCTCAGTTCATCTATCTCCTCATGCACATGTGCTGTGTTCTGTTTAATGTGTGTGTGTGTGTGTGTGTGTGTGTGTGTGTGTGTGTGTGTGTGTGTGTGTGTGTGTGTGTGTGTGTGTGTGTGTGTGTGTGTGTGTGTGTGTGTGTGTGTGTGTGTGTGTGTGTTTCTATTGTGTCTATTTTGTAACATGACAAAACAAATAGAAAATATCTCAGGAAGACTACAGGGCAACATGTTAGAGCGGCTTTAGGATTGTGTGCTTTTCATTATATTGGGAATTGAACAGCTTTGAAGGTGGAGTCCGCTGCCTTCCAGAACTATGTTAATTATCTACGTAGGGAAACAGAGTCTGGTGGATGAAGACCTTCATAGTATCAGTCTAAATGAAAAGGGCCTTCTCTCACACATCTCACCACAACACACAGGCCCAGACCAGCACATACAGTATGTCTGTGATTGAGTTCTGGGAATATCCATGTGAATACCATGAGTTAAAGCAATGGATTTACAAGAACAGAGCAGGGAAACACTAACATGAAGAGGGTTTACTTTAACCATTAGATTAGATTACTTCACCACAGTGTGAAAATACTGGTGTGGAAATGCCTTAGTGGGATGTAGCGCTAAGTGGGTTAAGGGAAATTCTGAACTGGCAAGGAAGGACGTTTTTGCCTTGTAAATTGTAATTCCATTGGTAAAATACCCTTTCATGTGAGGTGGTTCATTTTGGCTAGAACAACCGCAGGATGAAATGAAACACTTCATTTCACAGTTCAGTTAATGTTGTGTTTAATACTTAGTTAACTCATCTCGTGCCTGGGAGAGTTTGCATGTGTACGTTTGGGTGTGTTTGTGTGTGTCATATGGTAAATAATGTATTTTCTGGAGAGAAAAACTAAACTGTGTGTGTGCGTGTGTGCGTGTACGCGTGTGCGTGTGTGTGCATGCGTGCGTGTGTGCGTGTGCGCGTGTGTGTGTGTATGTATGTGTGCGTGTGCATGCGTGTGTGTGTGTGTGCGTGCGTGTTTGTTTGTCACCATCTTTCTTTCATTTCTTCTATCATTATTTCCCTCTCTTATCCCTTTGTTGTCGTCCTGCAGGGTGACCAGGGGTCAGCTGGCCCTCCAGGCCCCCCCGGACCCCCAGGGTCCCCTGGCCCTAGAGGCCCTCCTGGGAACACAGGCAAGGACGGGCCCCGCGGCCCCGCTGGAGAACAGGTAACAGCATTACCTTACACACACATATAAACACACACATACAGGTAAAGGTAGAATATACAAATGTAACCCATATGCATGCACACACACCACATACACACACGCATAAATTCCCATTGTCTCCGTCGCTATCTCCTCCCTTTTTCCCCTCGCTCTTTTTCTCTCTCTCTCTTGCGTCCTCTATTAACCAATACCGCGTCCTCTCTTAGTTCCATGCAGCTGATGATGGAGAACTAGGTTAACACCATTAAGTTTCTGGTCACTCCAACACCTGTCATCAATAGCTCTGTTGACCACAATAGTGTTGACCTGGTCGTGTTGACCACATAGGCGTGACAGTGAGGGATGGTGAGGGGAAAGGGTCTAATAAGAGTGCAGTGAACCCACATCGACAGAGCCTACTGTGGTTGCCAGCGAGCTGCGGCTTCCTTAAAACAGCCCAAAATAGACGCTTCGCTCCTGGCCTCATCTGGTTTCTGTAACAGAAGGCCACAAAGTGATCCAGCTAGCCCCAGTCTCCCACTAGTTGGCCCTAGTCTCCCCCACTCTCCCCCACTCTCCCCCTACCCCAGCCCTGTCACTCTGTGCCCCTGTAACAGATATGGCACTCTCTCTGGGTTCACCCACAGTTTTCCTGCCTCGGCAAACAATAGATCTTTAGCCTTGGGCCGCCACTGTTTCTCTAGATTAACTTTAAACCAGCCTGGGGTAATTTCATCTGGAGCCACTGCCTCAAACTGTGGTTGGAGAGCAGTGGGAGGAGGAGCAGGGGGGAGAGGTTAAGGTCAATTGTGTTTATCCAAGATCACAAACGAATGCACTGTTACCCATATTGGCAGTTGGCATGGTGTTGAAGCTGGACTGTAATGAAAATGTCGGTTAGTCAGGGCAAGAGGAGGGCTGGCTACAAAAACAAGGAACTAAGTGCAGGGGAGGACTAAAAAACAGACTTGATTCATAAATGAGGGTGTAAACAAATTGCTTGTCCTTTCATTTAACATTGTCCTGTTCCAGAGCAGAAAACAACAAAACAAAGCAACGTAGAGGCTGCGAGCCCTGTCCATGTTGTAGACAGATGTGTGAGAGAGAAAAGCAGAGGAGGACAGGATCTGTTGTTCTACTCGTTCTCCCTAGTTAATGACCTCAAACCCTCCTCATTACAGAGACAGATAGAGGGGGGGGGGGGGGGGGGGGAGAGGGAGAGAAAGAGAAAGGGGGGGGGGGGGGGGCAGAGAGAGAGCACAGAGGCTGTTCTGTGGCATAAGATAATAAGAGGAGGAGGGTAAAGGAGAGAGGGCAGAGGACTTGAGAAAAGATTGCCCAGTGGCATCGAAAGGTAAGAGACTGGAGTGGAGAGAAGAGAAGAGTTATGGGTGAGAGGGAAACAAGTAAACGATAGGGTCCAAAGGTGAAGGGTGAGGGGAGAGTGTGTGGGGCGGTGTGCGTACATGCGTGCACACCGCCCCACAAGGAAGCCAGATGGAATACGTCCCTGTTCTCAAGTAGTCAATGGAGAAAATGGGGAGAGAGTTAGCGTAACTTCACATTCATAATAATATTTAGTACAGTAGAGCAGTAAGTGCTTGAGTGTGTAGATAAACAGACAACGTGCCAAAGAGACAAAGAGCTGTCTGTCTGTATGAGGGGCTACTTAAACAGTACAGCTCTCCTGGCCTCTCCATGGATGATTTCAATACACATGGTTCTGTACCAAGCATACAATACATCCACCTGGAACACACAAGCACTGTTTGTTTTACTATCTTTGTGGGGACCAAACAATTGATTCCCATTCAAAATCGTATTTTCCCTGACACCTAACCCTAACCCTAACCTTAACCCCAAATCCCTAACCCCTAAACCTAACCCAAACACCTAACCCCTAAACCTAACCCTTAACCCAAATTGTAACCCTAACCCTAATTGTAACCCTAACCCTAAACTTAACCCCTAAGCTTAAAATAGCCTTTTTCCTTGTGGGGAACGGTGAAATGTCCTTGTTTTATTATCCTTGTGAGGACTTATGGTCTGCACAAGGATAGTAAAACTAAACACACACACACACACACACACACACACACACACAGTCAAAAGTTGTATTTAGTGGATTCATTCTAATCACCATTGGAGCCAAGAAGTTTGAAAAGGAAGACGCTCTGTGTTTGTTTGTGTGTGATACCTGATTGTGTATATGAAGTCATAGAATGTCTTCTTATAGAGAAAATAATGAGGGGTTATGTATGCCCAAAGCCATATTCATGTAAAACATGTCTCATTCACGTGGTTCATTGTAAGCAGAGGTACATGTCCTCCAGCATAGGAAGATGGAGCCAAAAACAGCTGGACATACATAACATCTCTCACACACGTGGTTCATTGTAAGCAGAGGTACATGTCCTCCAGCATAGGAAGATGGAGCCAAAAACAGCTGGACATACATAACATCTCTCACACACGTGGTTCATTGTAAGCAGAGGTACATGTCCTCCAGCATAGGAAGATGGAGCCAAAAACAGCTGGACATACATAACATCTCTCACACACTTGGTTCATTGTAAGCAGAGGTACATGTCCTCCAGCTTAGGAAGATAGAGCCAAAAACAGCTGGACATGCATAACATGATGGCAGGCACTTAACCATATCTCTGTGTGGGCTGATAAAACACTGACCTCCAGTGGCTACTCCTCAGAATACACAATGTCTATGGGGACCTGGATGTGTGATTTTCTGCTTGGTTCTCCACAGGGTTTCCCTGGTCACGATGGTATGGAGGTGAGTGTGTTATACACATTTTAATGTTTCTCGGTACTGCATCTAGAGTCGTGCTATTTAGTTTTGGGCACTAGCACGTGCAGGCAAGTTTAGAGATTATGTGCCAACTATATCTCTTTGTCATTCACAGGGACAAGCAGGTTTACCTGGAAAGCCGGTAAGTCATGTCTCTATGTCCCTACACACACCACAAAGTACACTGTAAATGTACACTCGACATGCATGGAGTTTACAGTATATCTGCCCAGATGTCTATGCATACAATATAGTTTGTGTTGTGTGTTGACCTTTGTTGACCCCTTGTGCACTCTCAGGGTGAAGATGGCGAGCCAGGATACCCAGGACCACAGGGACCCCCAGGGTCAAAGGTGAAGATGATGCTAACGCTAATTAAGGAGTTAGCCGTTGCAAACGTTATTGAGTGACGCTAACACTATTAGCCACTTATTACATGACCACGTTCAGAGTTTCTCCTACGCCTAACCCGCCTTCTCTTCTTCTTTTCATCTCTATGTCAGACCAGTAACAGACCGCCTGTGTTTTATTCCCTCACTCTCTCTCTCTCTCTGGCCGTCCCTGCCTCTCATATCTATCCCTTTCATTCCTCCTTCACTTGTTTCTATCTGGAGTTTATCGCTCTAAACAGGTCTTGGGTGGCATGGATCGAGACATCAAACACATTGCTTTCGCTTTCATTTGTACCCTCATTGCTCTCTCTCTCTTTCTATCTCCATCTCTCTCTCTCCGCCGAGTTAGGCCTCTAGCCAGTGCTAAACACTCTCCCCTGGTGCAATGATGTCATGGGCTTTTTAATGACTCCAGAGACTACAGCACTTGGCACTGACTGCCTCTCTATCAGCTTCAGTCAGTGTGTGTTTGTGTGTGAGTGTGTGTCTGTGTGTGTGTATGCGTGCGCGCGTGGTGCGTGGTGCGCTCTCGTGTGTGTGTACTTCTGTGTGAGTACACACTCCTGGGACGCGTAGCTGTCTGGGAGTGAGTTGAAGTGAGCTGCTGTTTGTGGTTACTGAAGTTGTTGTCGGGGACAAACTGCTCAGCTCCAGCTCAAACTCTGCTATGGCCAGGAATAGAAGACGGCCTGCTGGCCCGGCCTGTCTACAGTCTGTTACACAGGCCTGTCTACAGTCTGTAACACAGGCCTGTCTACAGTCTGTAACACAGGCCTGTCTACAGTCTGTAACACAGGCCTGTCTACAGTCTGTAACACAGGCCTGTTCTATGGTGTTAATCCCTCTCTGTTCCTCTGGTGCTGTTTTTCACCACTTCCTCCTTCCAGCTCTACAACCATAGATGGAACTGACTGCCTATAGCAGGCCTACAGTTTTTTATGATATTGTACTGAACACATTATTGTAAAGTGGCTTACCTACACCTAAGCTTTGTGTCTTTTCTGTGTGTAACAGGGGGAGGCTGGTTTGCTGGGAGAGAAGGGTGAGAGGGGCATGGACGGACTCCCAGGGTTTAAGGTGAGACATATCCTGTAATCTCCACATAAATACAATAGAGGTTGTTTCTCCTATATGGACACAGCCAATTCAAAGGCTTTTGTTTGTGTGTATTTTGTAGGGAGACAAAGGAGATATCGGAGAGCAAGGTGCCCAGGGAGACTTGGTATGTGTACACAGCTTAATCACCACCGAAGATCATGTTCACAGTTATCTGAGGCTACCTTTTTTATGTACTTTATTGTGTGATTATTTGATGCTTATGAGCATCTCAATCTCTATCTCTTTCTCAATATCTCTCTTTCTCAATATCTCTCTCTATCTCTTTCTCAATCTCTCTCTCTCTATCTCTCTTTCTCAATATCTCTCTCAATCTCTATCTCTCTCTCTCTCTCTCTCTCTCTTTCTCTCTCTCTTTTCTTCTCCTCTCCTCTTAGGGTTATCCTGGTGAGAAGGGGGTTCCCGGCTCTACTGAGGTCATTGACTTCAATGGGAAGCTACTAGAAGCCTTCCAGGTGAGACCTCCCAGTCAGAGACATAGACAATATACCTGGTGTGTGTTTGAAGGCCCATAGAGTATCATAGAGTTATCCAGACAGACTTAACATGCTGCTCTTCCTCCCTGACAGGCCATCCAGACCATCAGTGTCAGGGTAAACCAACTGTCACATCATGGCTTTGTAGACATGATCTGTGTAGTCAGTGTGTTGTCACACACACTAATGCATAGACATAGGCGACATACCCTCATACACATGAGCGTACACACACGGGTGCCTGTACACATGTAGCTTCTAAGACCAGAGTGAATATCCCCTGGGTGTTTGTGTAATGAGGACACTCTATCCCACAGCCCTGACATCAGACATATTAGATGTCACTACTCCATCACCCACAACCATCAACTATCCTCTCATACATAAATATATACAGGACGCAACACCGAGCTACCATAAATACCTTAAAGCTGGAATACAACCTCTGATATTACATAGCCTGAAGTGACATTCTCAATCATGCAGAATCAAAACATCATTCATTTCATTTTTCGAATGTATTGTTCATGCTGTGTTATTGTTGCGTCACAGGATATGCGGCTTGAAATTAACCCTGCTATGTGGTGGTGTTATCTGTGATGTTGCTTGGGTTGAAATAATCTGTTTGCATTTTTCTTGCTCAATCCAGTCGGGACACATAGTAAAGAGAGAGGGAGATGTCTTTTAACTAATTTCACAGTCTAGACACAAAGCTCTTCTCTTCATGCTCGGTCCCACGCTACATGCTAATAACAGATCCCTATCTCTCCACTGGCGTGTGCTTCTGATTAAAAACCACTATGTACAGGGATCCCTGGGGACCGAGTTTAGAGTAGGCCCATGCATGCTATGCTTTGGACATGACTGAGTTACACATGAGCTGGTCACAACATAGACATGAGATCTTATCAGTGTTCTGAAGCCTATCTATACAAGTTTACATACTTTCTCTCAATGAGGTTAAGAGAGAGTCCAACCTAGGGAAGGTGAACTCTTGCCCAACCCAAATCCGTTTTGAATCATTTCACTTGCTTCATGATGTGCCATATTGATTCCATCCACTTTAATTTTTGGGTGATGAACTTGGTGCTTCAGAATTCATTCATTTGTTTTTACAGCTTTCAAATTATCTGTGTGGGTGGCCGTCGTTTCAGAAGATGGAGTAATTTGGAACAATAGTTGTTTGTAAACCATTCCTGTTGCCATAGTTTTGCCAGAGCACAAAACAAAAACCTGGAAGAGAGGGGATGGAGAAATCAGCATGTATTATACACCTCTGGGAATTCACATGATTTCCATATTTTATTGCTTCAGGACCAGACAGTGCTCAAGAGGTCACACACACACACACAACCTCTGCTTTGTGGCGAAGGGGATCAGGGGCATGATGTAACCGACCTGTCACACATCTCTAACCGCCACAGGAGGCACCATGGGATCCATATACCTCACATACAGCATACAGAAATAGAACCACACATTAGCCCCAAGGCCTAGGGTCAGCCAACCCAGGAACCGTCCATGCTGCAGTGAGAGAATGTCAGTCTGAGTCCAGGCTTTCCATTCTCCTGCCCTGAGAGGCTTACTCCATCCTGCCCCATTAAAGATGTGGTTAGAAGAGGTTAGGATGCTGTGGATGCTATGGTAATAGCTCTGGTTAGGTCGATAGGGCTGTGTAGGGCTCTTTTAGGTTTACTGCTGGTGGGTGTTGGAGGTTTTTGCTGTGGGGTGGTGTGTGTGTGTGTGTGTGTGTGTGTGTGTGTGTGTGTGTGTGTGTGTGTGTGTGTGTGTGTGTGTGTGTGCCATCCCCAGCTCCTTGCCGGACTTGATCCACTTTCCTATTGCTTGCTCAAGACTCCAGAGTCCTTCTTTGAGAGTTCAACCCAGGGTTAATAATATACCAGCCATGTTGTGTGATATGATGCCAAGGTATTGTGTTTAGCCAACCGCATAACCTGGCCCAATAGGTCAATTTTAGGGACGATTTGCACCAAAGCATCCATAACAAAGATGGTCCTCATCAGAGAGAGGACAATAATAATCAGTTAGTTTACTGAGAGAGTCGTATTGTCAAATCCACCATCCATCTACAATGTTTTTCTGTTTTAGCCCTATGCTGGCGTCTTGAATCCCACAATTGCTCTAAGGCTAATACATACATAATCCACTGACTCTGATTTAATATGCTTGTCTGAGCGGACCTACTCAACAAACAGCCACTGCATGACTGCCTGATGAAGGGTGATGAAATTGGATATACGTAGATTCATCCATGGATTTGATTATAATTCTACTAACAGACTACTGAGACAGATCGACTTGACCTAATGTTTTGTATTTTGTGTAACCTCTCTGTCTGTCTGTCCCTTCCTAGGGCCCACCAGGTTTACCGGGTCCTCCGGGACCCCCAGGGGGAAAGGTAGGGTCTTATTTATATACACATGCCATCTCTTCTATCCATTGTGTCTGAATCAATGGAAGTCAATACTCTTTGAAGGTAAATTGTCAATTTGAACTTCTTATGTCTTTTCCTCACTACTCCAGGGAGAGCTAGGCTTGCCTGGGACATCTGGACTGGATGGGGAGAAGGTATGGACACTCTAATGTCCTTTTGACATTTTTTATAACCCACATTGAATCACTGTACCACTCAAATGTTTATAAATGTTGCACAATATATTTAATTCACTTATTATCTGGAATGATAATGAACATGATTAATCAGAGTTGTCCTGAACCTCTCACCTTTTACCTCTAACCTTCTCTCCTCTTAGGGTCCGAAGGGAGATATGGGGGAGACGGGGTCCATCGGCGAGAAGGGAGAGAAAGGAGAGATGGGTCTCTCTGGGCCAGGGGTAAGTAGATAGACGGGAACCCAAAGTAATAACCACTTTCATTAGAGGTGTATACACATTGTTGAGTAGCCTACTGTAAAGAGATGTAATTCCCCCTCTCTGTCTGTCTCAGGGGATGGATGGACAGAAGGGGGAGAAGGGAGACTCCATTCTGGAAGATAACCTGGTAAGTAAAACACACTGGTGTATACTGTATTCACACACTCAATAGTTGTTTTTGAATCTCTATCATATTTGCATTTAACACTGCTTCAGGTGGTGCGTACCTTGGCAGACAGTGGAATTACATATTGTCTGCGTCTCAAATGACACCCTATTCCGTATGAGCCCTGTTCAAAAGTAGTGCACTATATAGGGAATAGGGTGCCATTTTGGATATAACCATTGATATGTTCATAATCTTTAATGTGTTGTTTGTTGTTCTGTTATTCAGGTTCAGATGATTTCTCAGCCGGGCCCTCCCGGCCCCCCAGGACCCCCTGGACCTACAGGGTTCATGGTGAGTGTCACTATACGAGAGTGTCCGTGTGTCACTAAAAGAGTTTCACCCCTCTGTTCCCCAATATGATGTGGCTGAATCCCTTCAGAGACATAAGACTGACTGATCTCTTTGTGTGTTCCAGGGTCATCATGGAACACCTGGCCCTAAGGTAAGACTAGAAGGCCATAGAGCTACAGTAATGTCTCTCATCACATTGTACTTGTCACATGCTTCGTAAACAACAAGTGTAGACTAACAGTGAAATGCTTACTTATGGACCTTTCCCAACAATGCAGAGGGGAAAAATATAAATAAATACACAATGAGTAATGATAACTTGGCTATATGGGGTACTAGTACCTAGTCGATGTGCAGGGGTACAAGGTAATTGAGGTAGATATAGACATACAGGTAGGGATAAAATGACTAGGCAACAAGATAGATAATCTGTACGTGCTCTTGAGTGTTGTAGAGTGTACTGAGTATCATGTGTTCCCATGCAGGGAGAGCCTGGAGACAGAGCTAAAGGGGAGAAGGGAGACATCGGACCTGCTGGACTGAGGGTGAGTGATACTGTAGAATCATACATTATGAGCTGCTGCTGGTGATGATGATGGTTGATGATGATGATGATTATATCTAACGTGTCTGTCCTCCCCAGGGTATTGATGGCCCTCAGGGTCCCCCAGGCTCCACAGGATTGGTGGGTCTCCCAGGCACCAAAGGAGAGAAGGTGGGTGATGCCCTCATCACCAGATAACCTTAGCATATTAGGCCTACGATCATTGCATGCCGTGGTCTTTCATGGTCTTGGTCATGGTGGTACTGATGCATTCATTAATGTGTGTGTTGACAGGGAAAGTCTGGGGAGCCTGGAATGGATGTAAGTATGAAATAGTGTTTTTGAACTTTGACCTACCACACTATATGACACTGGGGAATTCTCTGCAGCACACACTAACCCGTTCCTCCCTCCACAGGGTTTCCCAGGCCTGATTGGAGAGAAGGGAGACCGGGGAGACAGAGGAGACAAGGTGGGAGGAGCATGTTCTTTCCTTCTTTAGCCCACAGTTCTGCTATTATGCATACACATCAGAATCAGTGTTGCTCTACCTGTATGCTTACCTGCCATCATTGAAGCAGGTCTTGCCAGTTTAAAGTTGGTGGGTTAGCCAAGACGTGTTTATTCCATTAAACATTGGGTAGGGATCTGAGATGGTTGTAATGGTAATTGTACGGTCACTGTTACTACTGTTACTACAGTGACTACTTGGTGATGAACCGTAAGTACACAAGCGTGCTGTAGGGAGCTGTAGTTGTAAATATACTAGGGTGAGCTGTAGTTCTAAATATGACCACCAAAATACACAACACGTAACCTGCATGATGGAGAGAGTGGCGCAGTGGTCTAAGGCCACTACAGATCCTGGTTCGAATCCAGGCTCTGTCGTAGCCGGCCGCGACCGGGAGACCCATGGGGCGGCACACAATTGGCCCAGCGTCATCCAGGGTAGGGGAGGGAATGGCCGGCAGGGATGTAGCTCAGTTGGTAGAGCATGGCGTTTGCAACGCCAGGGTTGTGGGTTCGATTCCCACGGGGGGCCAGTATGAAAGAAAAGAAAAGAAATAAAATAATGTATGCACTCACTAACTGTAAGTCACTCTGGATAAGAGCTAAATGATTAAAATGTAAATATATTTTTTAACACTTTCATTTATTTTAATATGTCAATATGTATTTGTTGTCTATGTTTTGGCGTGAAACTGGTGGCAAAAGTCAATTGTCGGACGATGTGTAGATGTAATTGAAATAATGCAATTGTTGATTACATGCTTTTTCATTAATTGGGTTATTTGATCTTGAACCAATTGTTCTTTCTTTTAGAAACAAATCTATCTATGAATATTTTTTTTAATAGATTGCCATGGATTTTCTGTCAATTACTAAAATTACTGAAGATTCTTTGCAACCCTATCTAAAACTGAACTCCTAATGATAATAGGTTGTATTTCTAATAATTCAATTTCTAATAATAACTCAGAAGTAATTAATGGATTTTTGAGCAGATTATGTTCAGCAGATTACTTATCTGGTTTAGTTTAGCTGCAGCAGGGTGCTCTATTCTTCGTGCCACTTCTGCATAGCTGTCTTGCTGGACTGTTGGTCTCTTCTGATTGGGGTGTTGTCCTGTTAGCATGGGGGGTAGTGGGGTTGGGGGGTGCTGTCCACTCTGCAAGGGGCCCGATGGTGCAGGGTGGTGTTGGACACTCTAGATGGGGCCCGATGGTGTAGACAAAATATTTAAGTGCCTTTGAACGTGGTATGGCAGTATGTGCCAGGCACACCAGTTTGAGTGTGTCTAGAACTGCAACGCTGCTGGGTTTTTCACGCTCAACAGTTTCCCGTGTGTATCAAGAATGGTTGATTATGACACCTTGTAGAGTCCATGCCCCGACAAATTGAGGCTGTTCTGAGGGCAAAAGGGGGTGCAACTCCATATTAGGAAGATGTTCCTAATGTTTTGTACACTCAGTGTACATAACACTACATAATACTACATAATCTCCTTCCTCATGCTTCAGAAACAGGAGATGGCTCCTGCCCAATGAGCCGTTCCGGCTCGCACAAGCCAAGGCTCGTGCTAGTCCACCCACCTACATAATACAATACATAATACAGTGCAGATTACAATACAAAATATATAATAATGTCTGTGTCTTTTCACAGTCCCCATTGTGCCGTAAGGTGTTTTTTTATCTGGTTTCTGAATCTGGTTTTATTGCTAGCTTCAGTTACCTGGGGTGGCAGAGAGTTCCATGTAGTCATGACTCTATTTAGTACTGTGCATTTCCCAGCCTCTGTGCTGGACCTTGGGACTGTGAAGAGACCTCTGATTGCATGTCTTGTGTTGTACTGATGAGTGTCTGAACTGTAGTGATGCAGTCCATCTCTCCTCAACTTTGAGCCAGGAGAGATTGACATGCATGTTACAGATATTCGCACGCCGTGTACATCTAAGTCCAATAAGTACTGCTCTGTTCTGGACCAACTGCAATTTCCCTATGTCCCTCTTTGTCGCACATGACCACACAACTGGGCAGTAGTCCAGGTGCAACAAAACTAGGGCCTGTAGGACCGGTCTGGTCGACTGAGATGTCAAGAAAGCAGAGCAACACCTTATCATGGATAAACCTCTTCCCATTTGAGCAACCATTGAGTCTATATATTTTGGCTTTGACAGATTGCTATCTAGGGTTACACCCTGCAGTTTAGTCTCCTCAACTTGCTCAATCGCCACATTATTCAATAATAGATCTAAATTAGGTTTAGCGTTGAGCTAGTGATTTGTCCCAAAAACAATGCTTTTAGTGTTTGAGATAAATAGCATCAGCCTATTGCTAGTTGCCAATTGTAAAACTGACTGAAGTTCTATGTTAAGAGTGTCAATTCTTTATTTTACTGTCTTAGCCAACGTGTATACTGTTGAGTCGTCAGCATACATAGGCACACATGCTTTATTCAAGGTCAGTGGAAGGTCATTAGTAAAATCAGAAAACAATAATGGCCCAAGCCAGCTGCCCTGCGGTACACCACACTCAACCAAATTTGTATTAGAGAGGCTTCCATTAAAGAAAACCCTCTGCATTCTATTAGATAGGTACTCTCAATCCATGATAAGGCAGAGGACACAAATCCATAACACCTACGTTTTTTCAGCAATAGGTTATGATCAATGATTTCAAAAGCTGCACTAAAGTCTAACAAAACAGCTCCCACAATTTTCTTACTATCAATTTCTTCAGTAATTTGTGTCAGTGCCGAGCATGTTGAGTGCCCTTCCCTATAAGCATGCTGAAAGTCTGTAGTTAATTTCTTTTCTGTAAAATAACCAACTAGCTCTCACAGTCTCACATCAGAATTAGATGTTTATCCATGTTTCTCAAACATCAAATTTCAAAGTTGTTTAAGTGTTTAAGGTTAAGTTTAGGCATTAACTCCCAAGTGGCGCAGCGGTCTAAGGCACTCCATGGCAGTGCTTGAGGCGTCACTACAGACCTGGGTTCGATCCCGGGCTGTGTCACAGCCGGCCGTGACTCCCATGAGGCGGCGCATAATTGGCCCAGCGTCGTCTGGGTTAGGGGAGGGTTTGGCCGGCCTGGATTTCCTTGTCCCATCGCGCTCTAGTGACTCCTTGTGGTGGGCCGGGCACCTGCAAGCTGACCTCGGTTGCCAGCTGGATGGTGTTTCCTCCGACACATTGGTGCGGCTGGCTTCCCGGTTAAGCGAGCATTGTGTCAAGAAGCAGTGCGGCTTGGCAGGGTCGTGTTTCAGAGGAGGCATGGCTCTCGACCTTCGCCTCTCCTGAGTCCATAGGGGAGTTGCAGCGATGGGACAAGACTGTAACTACCAATTGGATATCACAAAATGCGAGGAAAAAGGGGGAAAATTAGAATAATCTCTGAATGGGTTAAGTTTAGGCATTAACTCTGAAATTGTAAAGTTAGGCATTAACTCGGAATGGTTAAGGTTTGGGATAGGCTTAAAACCAAAATCTCAAAAACAACTTTCTATCGCTAGATTCAAACATGCAACATTTGGAATCAGAGGCAGATGCTTACGCCCATCTGTCATCCCCGTCCACAATGCCCTAGCAAAACCGAAACCTACTTGAAGGTAACAGCGCTCACTGTTGCCCCTAGTGGCCGGTTCCCACGTCATCTCCCGATGTCCTCAGACATGGATGGACGTTGAATACTGACATGTATCACGGGTGACCTGGTTGAAAATAACTTTGTATTTGATCAAATACCATTTTTTCCTAAAGTTTGACAAGCACTGGTAAGAGGCTCATTGGTCGACTGTTTCAACCATTAAAGAGTACTCTGCTATTATTGGGCAGCGGAATGACCTTTCCCTCCTTCCAGGCCTGAGGCACACACCATCTTCTAGGCTTAAATTGAAGATGTGGCAAACAGTTGCAATGTATTCCGTTACCAAACTCAGCAACTTACCATCCATGTTGTTGGTACCAAGTGGCTTGTCCTTATTTATAGATAGCAAAAAGAATATCACCTCTTTCACACCCACTTTGCGGAACTCAAAACTACAGTGCTTGTCTTTCATTATTTTATGCATGAATATGAAGGCTCAGCGTTTGTTGTTTGCATGTCATACCTAAGTTTGCTAATCTTGTCAACAAAAAGGTTATTCAAGTGGTTGGCAATATCAAAGGTTTTTGTTATGAACAAGCCATCTGCCTCAATGAAGGATGGAGCCGAGTTCACTTTATAAAGTACTCCAGAGCATTTTACTATCATTCTTTATATCATTTATCTTTTTCCATAGTATAGTTTCTTCTTCTTTTTGTTTAGTTTAGTTACGTGATTTCTCAATTTGCTGTATGTTTGCCAGTCTGCTGTGTTGCCAGACTTATTTGCTATTCCCTTTGCCTCATCCCTCTCAGCCATACAATTTTTCAATTAATCATTTATCGATGGGGATTTGTCAGTTCTACCAGTCAGTTTCTTGATGGGCCTATCAGTAACCGGAAGAAGCAGTTTCATAAATGCTTCAAGTGTTGTTCCTCATTACACATCAAATATTTTTCACATTTTCGACATGGGAATCATTGCAAAACCTCTTGTATGATCGCTTATACACAATTTTAGGTCCAGTCTTTGGAACTTAGTTTTTTTTTTAGATATGGCTATTATATTATGATCACTACATCCGATGGGTGTGGATACTGCTTTAGAGCAGATTTCAGCCGCATTAGTAAAGATGTGATCAATGATTTAGTTCCTGTTCTGTTTGTAAATACCCTGGTAGGTTGACTGATAACCTGACCCAGATTGCAGGCATCGGTTACAGCTTGAAGCTTCTTTTTGAGTGGACAGCTTGATGACAACCAGTCAATATTTAGATATTTAGTTGATATCACATACATTATCGAGCATTTCACACATATAGTCCAAATACTGACTTTTAGCACCCGGTGGTCTATAGCAACTTCCCACAAGAATAGGCTTTAGGTGAGGCAGATGAACCTGTAGCCATATTACTTCTACATGATCTGACATGAGAAGCTCTCATTCTAACAGGAATATGACTCTGGACACACAGAGCAACACCTCCTCCATTTGCATTTCTATCTTTCCAATATATCTATAACCATGTATAACTAACTACTACTGCGTCATCAAAGGAATTATCTAAGTGAGTTTCAGAGATGGCCAGAATATTAATGTTTTCTGACGTTTGTGAGTTGTCAATTTGTCCATTTCAGGCTACATATGTTAATAGTGGCCATTTTTAGTCATTTTCTGGGTTGGTTGTTTGTTTTTAGTGCTATTCTGAGAGGCTGATCCGAGGTAGACATGTCAGAGTAGTGTTGGGGTAGGTACTCTGAAATATATAGTTTACCAAGCTACCAACTACTTCACACTGGAAGAAGTTGAGTTACAGAAAAATTATCATATCTGAATCTGAAATGTCATATAATAACAAATGTTTTTTGGGGTGAAAATAGTTCCAGTAGTTACCTTCACCATTACAGGCAAAACAATTATTGACTACTGAAAACACTACGAAGATTTTTATTTAGTTAAACTTCCACCAACATGTTGTTGAATTACTAGTTGAATTGAATTTAGTGGAACTACTCCCCAACACTGCCTGTCTGATCTCTCTCTCTCTCTCTCTCTCTCTTTCTCTCTCAACAGGGTGACCGGGGGACAGTGGGGAAGAGAGGTCTGAAGGGCGGTAAGGGGGAGCAGGGTCCTCCTGGACTGGACCAGCCCTGTCCTGTGGTACGTCACACTCAACCTTGACCTTTCATCCATGAGCCTATGGACATTTATCTCCTTTGAGCCAGACTTGATAAAAAACGTTATTTAATTACAATTGCAGATACTTTACTATTTACTTTTTTCATTTTAATCTCTATTTCTATGATTTCTTACTAAAGTGCTTTCAGAAAGTATTCACACCCCTTGACCTTTTCCACATTTTGTTGTGTTACAGCCTGAATTTAAAATGGATTAAATTAAGATTTTTTTTGTCACTGGCCTACACACAATTGTAAGGGTTTGTGTGAGGTGTGACCCAGGTGCGGTGCAGGATAGACAGTAGGCAGAGATGGTGAAACAAGGATCTTTACTGGTGGTCCTGAAGCCAGGATATAAAACAACAGACTTAACACGATGAAAGAAAGGTGGAGAAAATAAGTCTCCAAAAACTGGCTGACAGCCAAAATACGAAATAGTAACTATGACTGAAATAAGAAAGAAACAGGAAGAAGACTTCTCGAGTACTTGTACACACTTCTCCGATCAGACACTGATTAGTACTGCTGAGCATAGAGAAACTAGCAGAGAAAACAGAGCAAGGGAACACAGGGAAGTGAGGGCATAAATACACAGGTGAACAGGTAGACACAGGTGACACCAATAGGATGATGATTAGTCCAGACTGTGAGTAAGGAGGTGCCTAAGGTTGTCGGAGGATGACACCTAGTGGGTCGCTCCGGAACTGCGACCCCCTCCTGTAACACACAATACCCCATAATGTCAAAGTGGAATTATGTTTTTTGAAATTTGTACAAATTAATTTAAAATGAAAAGCTGAAATGTCTTGAGTCAATAAGTATTCAACTCCTTTATTATGGCAAGCCTAAATAAGTTCAGGAGTAAAAATGTGCTAAACAACTTACACTCAAGTTACACTCTGTTTGCAATAATAGTGTTTAACATTATTTTTGAATGACTACCTCATCTCTGAACCCCACACATTAAATTATCTGTAAGGTCCCTCAGTTGAGCAGTGAATTTCAAACACAGATTCAACTACAACGACCAGGGAGGTTTTCCAATGCCTTGCAAAGAAGAGCACCTATTGCTAGATGGGTAAACATTTTAAAAGGAGACATTGAATATCCCTTTGAGCATGTTGAAGTAATTAATTATACTTTGGATGGTGTATCAATACACCCAATCATTACAAAGATACAGCTGTCCTTCTTAACTCAGTTGCTTTAGAGGAAGGAACCGCTCAGGGATTTCACCATGAGGCCAATGAAACTGTTACAAAGTTTAATGGCTGTGATAAGAGAAAACTGAGGATGGATCAACAACATTGTAGTTACTCCACAATACTAACCTAATTGACAGAGTGAAAAGAAGGAAGCAAATCCAATACAACACATTACTGAGTACCACTCTCCATATTTTCAAGCATAGTGGTTGCTGCCTCATGTTATGGGTATAAAATCAAATAAAATCAAATTGTATTTGTCACATGCGCCGAATACAACCTTACACTGAAATGCTTACTTACAAGCCCTTAACCAACAATGCAGTTTTAAGAAAATAATTAAAGAGTAGCAGTAAAATAACAATAGCGAGGCTATATACAGGGGGTACCGGTACCGAGTCAATGTGCGGGGGCACCGGTTAGTCGAGGTAATATGTACATGTAGGTAGAGTTATTAAAGTGACTATGCATAGATAATAAACAGAGAGTAGCAGCAGCGTAAAAGAAGGGTGGGGGGGGGGCAATGCATACAGTCTGGGTAGCCATTTGATTAGATGTTCAGGAGTATTATGGCTTCGGGGTAGAAGCTGTTTAGAAGCCTCTTGGACCTAGACTTGCCGCTCCGGTACCGATTACCGTGCGGTAGCAGAGAGAGCAGTCTATGACTAGGGTGGCTGGAGTCTTTGACAATTTCTAGGGCCTTCCTCTGACACCGCCTGGTATAGAGGTCCTGGATGGCAGGAAGCTTGGCCCCAGAGATGTACTGGGCCGTATGCACTACCCTCTGTAGTGCCTTGCGGTCGGAGGCCGAGCAGTTGCCATACCAGGCAGTGATGCAACAAGTCAGGATGCTCTCGATGGTGCAGCTGTAGAACCTTTTGAGGATCTGAGGACGCATGCCAAATCTTTTGAGTCTCCTTAGGGGGAATAGGTTTTGTCGTGCCCTCTTCACGACTGTCTTAGTGTGCTTGGACCATGTTAGTTTGTTGGTGATGTAGACACCAAGGAACTTGAAGCTCTCAACCTGCTCCACTACAGCCCCGTCGATGAGAATGAGGGTGTGCTCGGTCCTCTTCTTTTTCCTGTAGTCCACAATCATCTCCTTTGTCTTGATCACGCTTGTAATCGTTAAATACTTTGGAGGTTTTCAGAATTAAAAAGAAATAGAATGGAGCTAAGCACAGGCAAAATCCTAGAGGAAACCTGGTTCAGTCTGCTTTCCACCAGACACTGGGAGATGCATTCACCTTTCAGCAGGACAATACCCTAAAACACAAGGCCAAATCTACACTGGAGCTACTTACAAGGAAGACAGTGAATGTTCCTGAGTGGCCGAATTACAGTTTTTAATTAAAACTACTTGAAAATCTATGCCAAAACCTGAAAATGGTTGTCTAGAAATTATCAACAACCAATTTGACAGAGCTTGAAGAATATTTAAAAGATTAATGGGCAAGTGTTGCACAATCCAGAGGTGTAAAGCTCTTACAGACTTACCCAGAAAGACTCCCAGCTGTAATCACTGCCAAAGGTGCTTCTACAAAGTATTGACTCAGGGTTGTGAATACTTATGTAAATTAGATATTTCTGTATTTCATTTTCAATAAATTTTGCACAAATGTATAAAAACATGTTTTCACTTTGTCATTATTGGGTATTGTGTGTAGATGGATGAGAGAGAAAAAAACAATAATCAATTTTGAATTCAGGCTGTAACACAACAAACTGTGGAATAAGTCAAGGGGTGTGAATACTTTCTGTACTGTATATGCTATTCTGTATCTCTGGGAGTAGTGTACGTTCAGAGTGTGTGTAACAGTAGGTTGGCTCTTGCTGACAGGGTTCTAATGGGACTAAAGGACTTTCTGATGAGGGGGCACAGTCCATCCCTCCTCCTGCTCCTCTTCCTCCTTCTGGCCCTGAGGACCCCTGTCCTTTGGTACAGTATCTCTACCTGTTTCCACCTTTTCACCTCTTTCCTTTGTGTCTGCCTTTTTCCCCTTTCGATCCCATGCACTATTTCCCTTAGTCTGCTTTCCTATTCCATGTGTGTTTGCTATCTGAATTATGTCATTTTTTACAGCAGTAGGCAGGATAGTCACAGGAATCCTGAGATCAGCATAATTCCAGCTCCATATTGTGTTGTGGTCTTGATGTGGTTGTTGGTTGTTAATGTGCTGACTTGCATGTGGTATGGTATAGTGCTTTTGGTATAGTGCTTTTAGAAGCTAAAATAACTATGTATGCTGATGATTGCACACTCTACACATCAGCACCTACAGCCAGTTAGCTCACTGAGACTCTTAGTAAGGAGTTACAGTCAGTGTCCGAATGGGTAATTACCAATAAACTGGTCTTAAATACATCTAAAACCAAAAGCATTGTATTTGGTTCAAAGCATTCTCTTATACCTTAACCTCAACTGGAGTTGTGCATAAAGGATGGGACCATTGAAGAAGTTGAAGAAGTTGAACTCCTAGGAGTAACATTGGATAGTCAGCTATCATGGTAGACATATTGACAAAGACGGTGTGAGGTATGTCCAGTGGCGGCTCCTGAAAAAATTCTCAGGGGGGGCAATTTTTCTGATGATTTAGGTGACCTACACACATTTTAAAAAAGATATGTCCAGCAACAACATGAAGACAGGGGCAGCATATAAGTCAATACCAGAAGCATTTATTGACTGATCTCAAAAGTGTTGGCTTACCAGGGTTGGTGGAGCCCTCAGTTTCATCTTTGCCTCGCAAAGCTAACTCAAACACTCCGCAAAACTTCACACACTGGATTAGCCGGCTGAGGATGTGGCGGTTCTTGCTAATGTCGTAGTAAATATATTTGTTATAGTGAATATGGAATATGATATGTTGAGTAAAATGTTGTGCTAAGATCTATTTAGGTCAGGAGCTGGTTATAAGTTCTGTTCCTATCCAATAACAATGGACAAAAGGGTCCTATCTTGTCAGCCTTGTCAGTTTCAGTTCTCCAGTAAACTTGTGATTATCAACACTAACCTCATCGTTGTGGCGGCGGACAGCTAGCCTGTATCCCTCATCCAGTTGAGTGGGAATGTTCACTCTCCCCAAAGCAGACAATCTCAAACAGCTATCCATGTGGGTCTTTGACAGCTCATGTTTCTTAATCTTTCCTGAAAGATGGTGCATGTCCGTTACACACCAGTCGCTGTCCAAGCGGTGCTGTCTGCCGTGCCGCCTTCAGGGTGAAAGAGTAAGCAGGGGGGTAGCAGAAGACTGCATTAGCTACATCGCAGCCTGCTAGCCAGGTTTTTCGTTCGTACCAATTTTTGGAAAATCCTCGGGTGTAGGACTTCCCCCTTTTAGTAGAAACCTGTTGAATTATTAAATTTGGTCTGGGAGGTCCTAATTGTTTCGTTGCCAATTTATCTTGATTTGTTCGCCGACAAAAAGTAACTTATTTCAAAGAGACAATCGAGTTGCACTGAACGCTATAGCCATCTTGATAGTAGTACGTGAATTGATTGATGAGGCTACCCGCTCTTTTCTTAGTTACGTTCATGGTTACGTTACGTATGACGAAAGCGCGTAAGTGCAAGCCCTCAGAAACCCATAGAGATTGTATTGAAAGCTCTGATATTTGAAAAAAATAGATTTTACATGGGAGTCTATGACAGACTTCTGGGCGATTTTCAACCTGACTGAAATCGCCCCAAAAGGGGGGGGGGCCATTTGAAGCACGACTTTAGCCTGATTGGACATTTAGTGGCACTGTGGCAGATCAGACGTCTAGATTACAACACTGATAACTACTGTTGCCGTGATATAATTGATTAGAAAAAAAATCCCTTCCTTTTCCCGTTTGGCAGTGCGTCGCCCATATCGCCCTATTGAACACACCGCCCCTGGGTATGTCTGTTATAAAAAGACGTTCTGCGTTTTTTACACAAAGAACAACTATACTAGTTGTTCAGGCTCTGATCTTGTCCCATCTTGATTACTGTCTAATAATATGGTCAAATGCAGCAAAGAAAGACCTAGCAAAACAAAGCAGCACGCCTTGGCCTTAACTGCACACATAGAACTAATATAAACAACATGCATGATAGTCTTTCATGGTTGAGGGTTGAGGAGAAATTGACCACTTTTCTTCGAGTATTTTTAAGAAACATTTGTGTGTTGAAAATGCCTAACCATTTCTATAATCTATTTGCATACACTTCAAACAGACATACAGTGAGGGAAAAAAGTATTTGATCCCCTGCTGATTTTGTACGTTTGACAAAGAAATGATCAGTCTATAATTTTAATGGTAGGTTTATTTGAACAGTGAGAGACAGAATAACAACCAAAAAATCCAGAAAAACGCATGTCAAAAATGTTATAAATTGATTTGAATTTTAATGAGGGAAATAAGTAGTTGACCCCTCTGCAAAACATGACTTAGTACTTGGTGGCAAAATCCTTGTTGGCAATCACAGAGGTCAGATGTTTCTTGTAGCTGGCCACCAGGTTTGCACACATCTCAGGAGGGATTTTGTCCCACTCCTCTTTGCAGATCTCCTCCAAGTCATTAAGGTTTCGAGCCTGATGTTTGGCAACTCGAACCTTCAGCTCCCTCCACAGATTTTCTATGGGATTAAGGTCTGGAGACTGGCTAGGCCACTCCAGGACCTTAATGTGCTTCTTCTTGAGCCACTCCTTTGTTGCCTTGGCCGTGTGTTTTGGGTCATTGTCATGCTGGAATACCCATCCATGACCCATTTTCAATACCAGGCTAAGGGAAGGAGGTTCTCACCCAAGATTTGACAGTACATGGCCCCGTCCATCGTCCCTTTGATGCGGTGAAGTTGTCCTGACCCCTTAGCAGAAAAACACCCCCAAAGCATAATGTTTCCACCTCCATGTTTGACGGTGGGGATGGTGTTCTTGGGGTCATAGGCAGCATTCTTCCTCCTCCAAACACGGCGAGTTGAGTTGATGCCAAAGAGCTCCATTTTGGTCTCATCTGACCACAACACTTTCACCCAGTTCTCCTCTGAATAATTCAGATGTTCATTGGCAAACTTCAGATGGTCATGTATATGTGCTTTCTTGAGCAGGGGGACCTTGCGGGCGCTGCAGGATTTCAATCCTTCACAGCGTAGTGTGTTACCAATTGTTTTCTTGGTGACTATGGTCCCAACTGCCTTGAGATCATTGACAAGATCCTCCCGTGTAGTTCTGGGCTGATTCCTCACCGTTCTCATGATCATTGCAACTCCACGAGGTGAGATCTTGCATGGAGCCCCAGTCCGAGGGAGATTGACAGGTCTTTTGTGTTTCTTCCATTTGCGAATAATCGCACCAACTGTTGTCCCCTTCTCACCAAGCTGCTTGGCGATGGTCTTGTAGCCCATTCCAGCCTTGTGTAGGTCTACAATCTTGTCCCTGACATCCTTGGAGAGCTCTTTGGTCTTGGCCATGGTGGAGAGTTTGGAATCTGATTGATTGCTTCTGTGGACAGGTGTCTTTTATACAGGTAACAAGCTGAGATTAGGAGCACTCCTTTTAAGAGTGTGCTCCTAATCTCAGCTCGTTACCTGTATAAAAGACACCTGGGAGCCAGAAATCTTTCTGATTGAGAGGGGGTCAAATAATTATTTCCCTCATTAAAATGCAAATCAATTTATAACATTTTTGACATGCATTTTTCTGGATTTTTTGGTTGTTATTCTGTCTCTCACTGTTCAAATAAACCTACCATTAAAATTATAGACTGATAATTTATTTGTCAGTGGGCAAACGTACAAAATCAGCAGGGGATCAAATCATTTTTTCCCTCATTGTACATACCCCACCAGACACACCACTGTGGGTTTCTTCACTGTACCAAACCAAAAACGGATTTAATGTGTCACTCAGTTATGTATAGCCATGTCATCATGGAATGCTTTGCCACCAGAGGTTACATATTGTATCACAGCGCATCTACTGTTTCTAAAGATCTAATTTAACTGTATATAAGAATATGGATATGCATGTATAGTGTGTAAATAGTATTCCTGTTGTCTCTTGGTGTCCAATATCTAACTCTTATTTATTTATTTTTTGTATAAAACATATTGTTTTGCTTATATACTCTTGACTATAACTGTTCTGTACTTTGTCATGTATTTGTATGTTTTATATGGACCCCAGGAAGAGTAGCTGCTGCATGTGCAGTAGCTAATGGAGATCCTAATAAACTAAACTAAACTTTGGTGTTTTCACCATACATTACGTGAAACTGCCCCACTAACCACCCCTCTCTCTTGTTCTGTTATCCCCAGGGGCAGGATGGACTGCCCATACCAGGATGTTGGCACAAGGTGAGTGGTGGTAGATTATAACACACAGGGTTGCTTAATACCTGCCTGAGTTATATGTAGTACATTCATTCGCAACCACATGCAACATGATGAGTGTACATTCTCTATCAAACCGGAGTTTCAAGATAATAAACTATGAACAACAATGAACAACGTAATGTTCATTGCCCAACTTAGATTATTTTGACTGTGCCAATAGGCATGTATTAAACCCAATATATCAATGTTATTGGGGTGTGAGTATGATTATAATATGTATGTTATATAATCATCATCTTATGAGTATGATTATAAGATGACGAATGAAGCATGTATTATAGCGCTGTAGTGATTTGTTAACATTAGTGTTGTTCTTGACATGTGACCCCCACTAATCCCTGCTCTCCTTCTCTTGCAGTGATGACTAACATCAAGCATGGCCACTGTACATATTGATATGGTATATATTGCAACTGAATACTACATCGCATTTATGTTCTTTTTTTGCATTTTTATGGAAACGTTTTATATAATATATTGAGATTTTTTTTGTTTTGTTATTTTGAGTCAACAGTATTAACCAGACTGCATATATCGATCAATGCAGATATGTTTTGTACACATAGACTCTGGATATAAAGTAAAATGTACTCAATGGGACACAGCCATCTTTGAGCAACATCAGGGGAGAGAAATAAAGCAGCAAACAGACTCCTAACCTAACGGACATACAGGCACATGCTGGAGAGTGGATGGATAGGTAGAGTGGCCTTACTAATGGAGTCTCGTCTGCCATGTTGCTGCCTGGCCATTAATTCTGCATGGGAGTGTGTGTGCTCGCACCGCCCTGCTCAACCCCACGGATGGACAGACTCCTGGTGTGGTAAATGGAGGAGTGTAAGTCTCTCTCCCTCTCTCTGTTTTTGAAAGGAGGAGAAGGAGGAGGAGAGGAGGAGACAGAAGCTCAAACGCAAGCGTCTCGCTCTCTCTAAGCCCAGAGGGGAGAGCAGGCCTGGAGGACAGAGGGAAGACGCGGGAGAGACAGACAGACATGGAAGCACAGAGGACAGACAACCTCTATTGAGAGAGTCATGAAACGGTTCCGTGCAATTCAGTTCAATTCATAATACTGAGATCCTGCATTATGGAAAAACACCAGGAGGGGGCGACACAGAACACTACATTTCCACTTACACCTGAAGAGGGCTCTCACCCATTGGCTGTTGTAGTTTTTTTACCACACTCACAGTTGGTTCTGGGCTACAGATGCAAGGATTTACCTATGATGACACAATAATAATAATAATAATAATAATAATAATAATAATATATGATGTCTGTGGATTCACCCGACGGATATGATGAAAGTGTTTTTATGATATGGTGTATGGCGATTTAATTTGTTGCTCTTCTTTACTTTAGTGTTTCCATTTAATAAAGTGCATGATCAACACTAGTCACATCATCATATACAGTAGCTTCACCCATACCAGCACACTAAGGCAATAAGTTACTGAGGTATTTACTTTGCACAGAACAATCTCTAACAGTCTTTCCATGTAAAATGCCACAAGGCATCAGTTTTTTATGCAGATGTTTTTTGTGTGTGGCTTACACTACTGGGAGTGATGACAAGTGTGATGTTTTCATTTGATTTTATTCTAGTTCAGTTACATTTGCATTCCTGTGCATGGACGTGTTTGTATAATATACAGATACATACTAAGTTCATTGTGTTAAATTCAAAGTCAGAACTGAAGGAGCCATGTGCAGTATTCACAAATATGTAGTAATCCATCAATGAAGTTGAATATGAAGTTCATTTGAACATTAAGTAATTTTGTGATTTTATTTGGCTTTCATCAGATGCCAATTAGAAATATCACATCAGTATTTTCTGACAGTGTTGACAGTACAGTATTGAAGATGTATATTGAAGTATTATCACTTAACCTTAGCTAAAGACACATTTCGATGAAATACTGTTTTCTCAACAACAGTATGAATTCTTGCTGCTGACTTAAAATTGTTTGTTTGTCTTAACCAATGAGTTTAGTCATATAAGACTAGAGTTCACAGACTGAAGTACAATAATGTACCCAAAGTCATTGATTTAATAATAGTTATATTCATTGGTCCACATTGACACACCATGACAAAAAGGTCATAATTGTCGGTTGGTTTAACTAAACCTACTTGTTTGTTTTTATACATTATCACATCATGAATTATCTTTTTTCATTTATTCTGATTTACATTTTTCTTTCTGACTTCATGGATTGTCTTTTGGAGATTTATCTAATTGGTGCTCGATCACTCTTTCTAACTTTATGGATGGTCTTTTGGAGATCTATCTTCTTGGTGCTCGATCACTCTGTGTTTCTGTGTTTCTCAAGTATTCCTGTAGGGTCCACACACACACACACATACACACACACACACACACACCTCAATTTCAATATCAAGAGCACATGACAGATATAAGTAACTTGCTTGTGAGTTTCACTATACCACATTTATGCTATTAAATGAATGCCCCTGGAATATAATAAACAACTGGTTCATTATATTGTACTTTATTAATGTACCATTTTCAGTATTTTTATTCACAAAGTGTTATATTTGAAACTGGGATGTAGTGCACAATCATATTGGTTGTTTTCTTCATCCCTCTCATTTAAAGGCCCAGTGCAGTCACTGTGAAAGTGTGAAAAATTGGATCAGTGTTTTTTCTTGATAGTTGCTGGTTGAAAAGACAATCTACACAGGACCTTCTAATCAGCAGGTTTGCGGAAGGTTGGTAAATTGGTTAATAGACCAATACAAAGTAGAGTTTCAAACCTCTCCCCATTTTAATTAAAATCTATTACAGTAAGGTACTTAATTGTTACCAAGAAATTATTTGATATTGATTAAAACGTCTGCATTGGGCCTTTGATGTTGGACTTATGCAGCAATGTGTGTGATACTCTACCTTGACAAACTGATGTTTCTCTGCAATATTACAGGTTTATTTCTTTGGCAGATATCCTCAGTTTCTCATTTTTTAAGGAATAATTGCCAACCATTGGTGACACAATGTCTGAGTACAGTTTAGCGTGTTTTATAAAAAAAATATTACAGTATTAGGTCGATTTTGTGAGTTTGTTTATTTGGTTGTGTATTTTGGTTGTAAAATAATTAAGCTATTTTTGTAACTGCTATCTTTATCTCTGTATAATGTAAAATCTAGTCAACTCAACATGTAGACTGAAATAAACTCCATAAAATATACTGTTACCTTCTTGAACCTCTTCTGGTCATTTGTTCTTAACCATTCTCTGCACTCATATTGCAAATGATGAATCAGAACTTGTCCATAAAAGTTATCTTATAATTTCAAAAAAGCTGACTCTGTCCCCACATTGATCAGTTCAGTTACATTCTTGCAATGATAGGCCTTATCCTCACTCAAATTTTTTTATATTTTTTATAAAGTTATATAATTACGAGGAAAATGTATTTTGCATTAGGAATAGTAGGCCTACTATATTATTCAGAGCGAAAGACCATAATGCATTCTGACTGCAATCATTAGGCCTGGGGTTACAAAATTGTTCGGCTTGCAACCCCAAATTGAGGAAAAAATATATAGGGGACCCCAACTGAAACGTTTTCTTGCCTTTTTGTTTAATAAGATTACAGATTTTCTCAAGTGACCCCATTTCAATATCAGGGACCCCAAGTTTGGGAACCACTGCATTAGGCCTACTAATAATTATTGGAATGAAAGGCCTTCTGTGGCCTATTTCATGTCACACCTTTACAGCACTTACATTTATGTAACTGTAATTTGGGGATACATTTTGGGGGGATTACCACCATCCATAACATGATTGCTACTTCACGTGATGTCTACCTATCCAAATGATGTTGTTTTGTAAAATACATTGACATATGTGCTTTAAATTATAACTTTGCAATGGTCTCTTTAATCTTTCGAAGAATATTATTCTGTTTCTGTTTGACATGGAAGAAGAGTAAGATCCAGGTAAAAATAAAAAATAAAGCACACGGGTACGAAAGGGTTAAAACTGTTCTTCCCAGTGTACTCCGCGCGCGATCGACCCCTCAAAGGTTCTGCATCCGGGTCTGAACTTCCTTTTTCTCTGTGCCTAAATGTGAGAGGAACTAGGGAAACCTAGCCCTCAAACTAATCTATATCAATCCTTGAAAAGGGCACATTAAAACTTCGCCAAAATGACCGAGCAGATGACAGTAAGGGGTACCCTGAAGGGGCACAATGGTTGGGTCACCCAAATCGCGACTACCCCTCAGTTTCCCGATATGATTCTGTCTGCATCCCGAGGTAAGCGCTTCTCAGCCCGCTACGATGGACGGCAATATTGCTAACCCGAAGCATGTTACCCGGTGCTTGTTAAATTGATGTGTAGCCTCGACTGCTTGAACAATTGAATCAGAAAAGTGAGCTCAATCAATGTAGGGGACAAGTCTTGCGTCAAACGCAATGTCTAGTGGACAAACTGCTCTACAAATAAGTTTTCTGTCCGATTGCTAGCCCTTGGGAACAAACGTCACCTGCTATGCCGACACCACATCCACGTGCACCGCCAAGTGGACAAAATGTTCAGTAGGCTAGCAATGAAAAATGGATTTCTGGACCTGCCAATTAAATTGTGACTAGCATAGTAATCTGTTAAATGTTCCTGTTTGAGGAAGCTATGGTTTTACTTGTCTGTCAGTGATTGTTGAAGGCAACATACCGGTGGTTGGCCGGATAGCTAGCTTTCCATACTTAACGCGTCGTTAGTTGGACAGCTTGCACGGCAATGCACTTTTGCTTCTGTCAACATCCCATGTTACATTAGTTAGCTAGGCCTACCTATTGTTGTTCAACTGCAATCTCTACCATTCCATACATTTAATTTAAATTTATAATCAGCATTTCTCTTTTTCAGATAAGTCTATCATTATGTGGAAGCTGACCCGTGATGAGACCAACTATGGCATCCCCCAGCGCGCCCTGAAGGGACACTCTCACTTTGTGAGCGATGTAGTCATCTCCTCAGATGGACAGTTTGCCCTGTCCGGGTCCTGGGATGGGACCCTCCGCCTGTGGGACCTCACCACGTAAGTATAGGGGCAGTGGGGTGATGGTTTAGCTCCATACAGGGTTCCTGTGAACTACAGAGGGGTAGTTCCTGTCCTGGAGGTCTAAATTGTGTGCAGGCATCTGATTCAAGTGATTCTGAATTGAAGACTAGGATTAGTTTACTCATTTTGTCCTGGGTGGTTCATTGCTGAGCTAGAACAAAAGCCTACACACAGACATTCTAGGACCAGAGTTATCTGCCTCTACCAACCTGTTTACACCCCTCCATGTATATCAGGTCAGCGAGGACGAGGTTATTAATCCAACCATTTGGGTGTAGGGGGTTCACCCCTGGTGCCTGAGCCCAAGAAGGAAATGTTGGTAGTGTCATATCATGCTGCAGACATGAGTCAATGCTGGTTCTAAAGTGATGATGAAACTTCCAATGCCATCTGTATCCCTGTGATGATAAAGAGGCTGTTTCTGAACGCAACCTGCGCTTACCTGTGAAAGATGAGACGTGGGTATATCAGAGAATATCATGTTCTGCCTTGGTTTCAATAGTGTTGACTTGAATAATGGTTATTAGTCATCTGTAGTGTGAAGATTTACACATGGACTCAACGATTATCTTCCTCCCCTCCAGTGGCACCACCACCCGTCGCTTTGTGGGCCACACCAAGGACGTCCTGAGCGTGGCTTTCTCTGCCGACAACAGGCAGATTGTGTCTGGCTCTCGGGACAAGACCATCAAGCTGTGGAACACCCTGGGAGTCTGCAAGTACACCATCCAGGATGAGAGCCACTCTGAGTGGGTGTCCTGCGTGCGCTTTTCCCCTAACAGCAGCAACCCCATCATTGTCTCATGTGGTTGGGACAAGATGGTCAAGGTAAGGACAAAACTGCATACAGCACAAGTGACTCAATAGGACAGTTGGCTGTGTAGATTATTTAACTAAGCAGAGATCTTGATAATTGTTAAAGGGGGTTTGGTTACTATAGATGTAATAAAATCAAGCTCTCTGTAAGATTAATAGTGTTTTCCTGCTTTGCCCTGTGATTACAATGTGACATTATCACCCTGAGCCTCGGCTCTGATGACAAGTCCTGCAATGATGATGGGTACAGGAACCAGGCTGCAAATGTGTGCAATGTCGAACACTTGAAATGGTTCACCTCTGGCGGGTATTTTTCTTATGTGTATCCTGACACATGGCCTTCCCCATTGTTCTGTTTCTAGGTGTGGAACCTGGCCAACTGCAAGCTGAAGACTAACCACATTGGCCACACTGGCTACCTGAACACAGTGACCGTCTCTCCCGATGGCTCTCTCTGCGCTTCTGGTGGAAAGGTATGATGAAAGCACTCTGCTAATATTGGCTATTACGCTATAGATTTAAAATTGTCACTGTTCACCAGCAGTTTCTGCCTTTATTGAATGTGACCAGGTTAAATTAAGGGCACTTGGATGGTTCTGTGGTTGATGTAATAACTTGGGGATAGTTATTGGTGTGTAATGTGGCGTTGCAAAGTTATGATGGAAATTCTAATGCCGTCTGTTTCACTATGATGATAAAGAGGCTGTTTCTGAACGCAACCTGCACTTTTGAAACTTCATTTATTTTACTCCAACCTGCCAACTGAGATTTGCCTTTTAAGGTTATTGTTGATTGGTCATATCCCCAGTGAACGACCATGGACTCTACACATTATTGCATGCCCAAGTTGCCCTGCAAGCATGCATGTTAATTTGCATTGGCTGACCTTTGACCCTGAATCCCATTCTCTCCTCCCATAGGATGGTCAGGCCATGCTGTGGGACCTGAATGAGGGGAAGCACCTGTACACCCTGGACAGTGGTGACAACATCAACGCCCTCTGCTTCAGCCCCAACCGATACTGGCTCTGTGCCGCCACCGGCCCCAGCATCAAGATCTGGGTAAGACTCCTACTCTCAGAATACATCAGTGCTGACGGTGCAGTTGGTTGGAAAGACCGTTTTGTGTTGTAGTCTGTACTCAACTCTACATTAGTCAAGGAGCGATGATGGAAAATTCCAATGCCATCTTATTTCTATGATGATAAAGAGGCTGTTTCTGAGCTCTGCTAACTGGCTCCTTTTCTGAAGCCATCCATTGGACCTGAGAATGTGATTGCCATGTCCACATCAGAGTAGTTGTTCCAATTCCATCACAACCCATTGTCTCTATCGAAGCTATGTTCACCATTCTCCCCTTCTCCTCCCCTCCCTTCAGGATCTGGAGGGTAAGATAATTGTGGATGAGCTGAGACAGGAGGTGATCAGCACCAACAGTAAGGCCGAGCCCCCACAGTGCACCTCTCTGGCCTGGTCTGCTGACGGACAGGTATGACATACCCCATTACTACTCTACATCCCACAGAACTACATTAGAACCCTGGGATTATGTCTAGAACTGGGTCATGTTATTTCAGTCTGCTCTCAGAAAGTAGTGTCTGCCCGGTTGGTTGTTGCCTTGCCCTGTGATTACAAAGTGACATTGATTGCCTGAGCTTTGGCTCTGATGACAAGTCCTGCAATGATGATGGGTACAGGAACTAGAGTACATATTCATGCAATGTCTAGCACTTGGAATGGTCAACCCTAGTGGGAGTATTATACTTTAATACATAGTCAACAGCTTCTTTTTGTGTTGCAATTTTTGGCCATTTCTTATTGTCCCTTGTCTTTTAACAGACCCTGTTTGCTGGCTACACAGATAACCTGATCAGAGTGTGGCAGGTTACCATCGGAACCCGATAAGGACCTTTTCACAGATTCGGCGATGAATAAAATAGTTTTAAATGAACTGAGTTTGTCTTGTTTGGTTGAATACGTTTGCACGATGTGTGGTGCAGTTTTGATGCAGACATTTTTTGTTGACCTTTTGTAATAACTGGGTTGTGATTCTGTAATAAATGGGTGAAACATTTTGACATATTGTAATTGTCGAACATTCAACATGTTATTGCGTTTCCCACTGAACTGCAAGAGTAGTCTAAATATCTTGGCGTAGTCGGTATCCTAGCAACAATGCGAACATCAATGGGAATGAGCTAACTTCTTCGAAAAGGTTTGTAGCTAGCAAGCTGAAACTTTGTTGGACGTAACAAATATTTAACTTGGATAGCTATGGGCCTTCCTTGCTCTTATCAGCCTGAGGTTTATCTACTTTGAACGCTTGGTACTTGTAAATGTAAGCGTTATCCCATTGCCAATTTGAACATGTAGCTGGCTGACGTCATATTTCGCGTCATCAGACTGCCAGGTTTTGCGATGGGGCCAGTATTATTAGTCCGAACCAGACGTCTATTGACTACTCGACCATTTATGATCCAAGTCCAGCTACGTTATTGCAATAAGTGTTCAAGTTAATTTCAACGTCTACTAACCATGTTTTTGTCAAGATTGAGGGAGAGTTCACTCTACAAGAGCTAACGTTATGAATGAAATGCAAGAATCAGATGCCCTCTCCTTGGATTTACGTGGAGAGAACTCTTGGATTGATCAAACCTGACTATACACCACGCTGAGGAGATGGATATCGTTCTCAGATCTGGGTTCACTGTTTTACAGGTTGGTATTCACTGTTTATTCAGACGTGCAGCACATCCGTTGAACTACAAACATTCATGCTGCCTATAGCGTCGCCACTAGCCAGTTTCTGAACAGTTTGACACATCAGTGACTGGCAATGGGTACATACAAAGTGGGTGTTGCCAGAGCAGAGGCTCCTACTGAAAATAATGAATGTGTCTCGTCTCTAGGGAATAAAACCGCACAATACCAGCGTAATTAACCAAAAGGCATAGATGGAGGACATGGGCAAAACGAACTTGATTGGATTATTGAGTGCGGTGCTTTGGTTTGAACCACAGGCAAGCTCAACATCTGCCATGTACACTTGTCATTCATCACTGTTTGTGTAATTGCTCTTTCACAGAAACGGAAGCTGCAGCTTTGTCCTGAGCAGTGCAGTATGGGAAGCTCTTCTTCCTAAGCCTAACGGCCTTCATGATCACCAGAGACCGGGCTATTGCCCACTGGAAGACCTGTGAACTGCACCAAGGCCAGGGAGACACCCAGAATGGTCAGTCAGAAGGCAGAGGATTGGGTTTCCAGCCCTCTTCTATCCTCTTCTCACCCCAAATGGAAAAGAGATTCACTGGGGGGTCTGTCAGTGTGGTTTGGGGTTTGTCTTGAGAGACCTTGACAGCTATCTGAATTTTTACTGATTTCACCCAATGGAAGTTCACTGATGAGAGCAAATATTTATCAATATGCAACAAAATGTTGTCCATCCAGTTCAAATACGGGTAGGCCTAGTTATTCTATTACTTCCGCATACCTACTGTGTACTGCATATATGAGTTATTGCGCATATGATCGATCAATACTGCATGACTCAGCACTTTTACTGTAGGCTACATGTGCATGTTGTATCCCAGCCTGCGAGCCAAGTACGGCACCCCTGACCTAAGGAATGCAGTGCATGGCAGCGACTCATTCTCCTCAGCCGAGCGAGAGATCAAGCTCATGTTCCCCAAATGTACTGTGCCTTGCAAAAGTATTCATCCTCCTTGGCGTTTTTCCTCTTTTGTTGCATTACAACCTGTCATTTAAATTGATTTTTATTTGGATTTCATGTAATGGACATACACAAAATAGTCCAAATTGGTGAAGTGAAATGAAAAACATAACTTGTTTTTAAAAATTCTATATATACACCTGTTCTGAAAGGCCCCAGAGTCTGCAACACCACCAAGCAAGCGGCACCATGAAGACCAAGGAGCTCTCCAAACAGGTCAGGTACAAAGTTGTGGAGCAGTACAGTTCAGGGTTGGGTTATAAAAAAATATCCGAAACTTTGAACATCCCACGGAGCACTATTAAATCCATTATAAAAAAATTGAAAGAATATGGCACCACAACCAACCTGCCAAGAGAGGGCCACCCACCAAAACTCACGGACCAGGCAAGGAGGGCATTAATCAGAGAGGGAACAAAGAGACCAAAGATAACCTTGAAGGAGCTGCAAAGCTCCACAGCGGAGATTGGAGTGTCTGTCCATAGGACCACTTTAAGCCGTACACTCCACAGAGCTGGGCTTTACGGAAGAGTGGCCAGAAAAAAGCCATTGCTTAAAGAAAAAAATAAGCAAACACGTTTGGTGTTCGCCGAAAGCCATGTGGGAGACTCCCCAAACATATGGAAGAAGGTACTCTGGTCAGATGAGACAAAAATTGAGCTTTTTGGCCATCAAGGAAAACGCTATGTCTGGCGCAAACCTAACACCTCTCATCACCCCGGGAACACCATCCCCACAGTGAAGCATGGTGGTGGCAGCATCATGCTGTGGGGATGTTTTTCATCGGCAGGGACTGGGAAACTGGTCAGAATTGAAGGAATGATGGATGGCGCTAAATACAGGGAAATTCTTGAGGGAAACCTGTTTCAGTCTTCCAGAGATTTGAGACTGGGACAGAGGTTCACCTTCCAGCAGGACAATGACCCTAAGCATACTGGGACGGAGGTTCACCTTCCAGCAGGACATTGACCCTAAGCATACTGCTAAAGCAAAACTCGAGTGGTTTAAGGGGAAACATTTAAATAACTTGCAATGGCCCAGTCAAAGCCCAGACCTCAATCCAATTGAGAATCTGTAGTATGACTTAAAGATTGCTGTACACCAGCGGAACCCATCCAACTTGAAGGAGTTGGAGCAGTTTTGCCTTGAAGAATGGGAAAAAATCCCAGTGGCTAGATGTGCCAAGCTTATAGAGACATACCCCAAGAGACTTGCAGCTGTAATTGCTGCAAAAGGTGGCTCTACAAAGTATTGAGTTTGGGGGGAGGGGTGAATAGTTATGCACGCTCAGGTTTTCTGTTTTTTTTGTCTTATTTCTTATTGGTTTCACAATATAAATTATTTTGCAGCTTCAAAGTGGTTGGCATGTTGTGTAAATCAAATGATACAAACCCCCAAAAATTCAATTTTAATTCCAGGTTGTAAGGCAACAAAATAGGAAAAATGCCAAGGGGGGTGCATACTTTCGCAAGCCACTGTAAGTTAAACAAACACACATTAAATATTTACAATGCCTTCAGAAAGTATTCATACCCTTTGACTTTTTCCACATTTTGTTGTGTTACAAAGTGGGATTCAAATGAATTTAATTGTATTTTTTTTGTCAACTATCTACACAAAATACAAAATTATATTGTATTTTTACAAAATATGACAAATAAAACACTATCTTGATTAGATAAGTATTCAACCCCCTGAGTCAATACATGTTAGAATCACATTTGGCGGCGATTACAGCTGTGACTCTTTCTGGGTATGTCTCTAAGAGCTTTGCACATCTGGATTGTACAATATTAGCATATTCTTTAAAAAATTAGTTTTGTCAAGATGGTTGTTGATCATTGCTAGACAGCCATTTTCAAGTCTCTCTGTCCAGCTGTTTGTGAACCCCACATTGCTCAGGGGATTCACTGAGCTCTGCAAACAGAAGCCTGTCGCCCCCTTCAGGGTGGAATGAGAAATGTGGACATACAAATATCAACCTCAGTACTTGTTACATTTGCTTTTAGCGTTATTTCTGAATAAACGAATTCAGTTATTTGTGTTTTTCTCCGAAGACTTGGCTGGCACATTGGCTGGTCAGAAATAATCCCAACAAACCTACAAATATTTAATGGAGCAACTGGGGAGGAAGCAGCATAAGCACAGAGAGACTCTTATCTCCCTCACTAACTTTAAGCATCAGTTGTCAGAGCACCTTACCGATCACTGCACCTGTACACAGCCCTTCTGAAATTAGCCCACTCAACTACCTCATCCCCATATTGTTATTTATTTTGCTCATTTGCACCCCAGTATCTCTATTTGCACATCATCTCTTGCACATCTATCATTACAGTGTTAATACTAATTGTAATGATTTTGCACTATGGCCTATTTATTGCCTTAACTCCATAACTTGCTACATTTGCACACACTGTATATATATTTTCTGTTGTATTTTTGACTTTGTTTTGTTTTACCCCATATGTAACTCTGTGTTGTTGTTGTTTTTATCGCACTGCTTTGCTCTATCTTGGCCAGGTCGCAGTTGTAAATGAGAACTTGTTCTCAACTGGCTTACCTGGTTAAATAAAAGGTGAAATAAAAATAAAAAACAGAGATGGGGAAAATACCTAGCCTAGGTAGCCGATAGTGGGCGCTAGATCTGCACTATCGTCTAGGATTGATGTGCCCAGCTGGTAATACACTCGTGTCACCCGTGGACCGGCTCGTACATAAAGCATCCTCCATTTAGGCTGCAAAGGCATAATTTTCCTCCTTAACTAGCTTTAATGGCGGACCGTCGGTCCTAGACGATAGTGTAGGTCTAGCGCCCACTTTCGGCTGCCCAGTCTAGAAAATACCATGCATGTGCCTTTATCGGTTAAATTCATGTTCAGGAAACAGTGTTACATAAAATCCTGTGATGAAATAAAAAATTATATTTTGACAACAGGAACCTGTTTTTTCCCTCTTTATTTTGGGGAGGAGGAGAAGATTGCCTACAGTATGATGGTTTACAAAATAAGAACTGCACATAAAGACCTGTGCAGTGTGTAGCTGACCATTTATGAGGTTAATTTCTTTGACTGCTGATAAACAACATGCAACATTATTGAATCTTTACATAATTGCCATAACTAATTGCATTGCCCACAGTTTAATATGTTCATACAGTACTGTAATATCATAAATTGATTTATATTACTAAAAACGTTTTTATTTACAGCACCAGTCAAAAGTTTGGACACACCTACTCATTCAAGGGTTTTTCTTTGTTTTTACTATTTTCTACATTGTAGAATAATAGTGAAGACATCAAAACTATGAAATAACACATATGGAATCATGTAGTAACCAAAAAAGTGTTAAACAAATCAAAATATATTTTATATTTCAGATTCTTCAAATAGCCACCCTTTGCCATGATGACAGCTTTGCACACTCTTGGCATTCTCTCAACCAGCTTCACCTGGAATGCTTTTCCAAGTCTTGTTGGCTGCTTTTCCTTTACTCTACGGTCAGACTCATCCCAAACCATCTCAATTGGGTTGAGGTCAGGGGATTGTGGAGGCCACGTCATCTGATGCAGCACTCCATCACTCTCCTTCTTGGTAAAATAGCCCTTACACAGCCTGGAGGTGTGTTGGGTCATTGTCCTGTTGAAAAACAAATGATAGTCCCACTAAGCCCAAACCAGATGGGATGGCGTATCACTGTAGAATGCTGTGGTAGCCATGCTGGTTAAGTGTGCCTTGAACTCTAAATAAATCACAGACAGTGTCACCAGCAAAGCACCCCCACACCATAACACCTCCTCCTCCATGCTTTACGGTGGGAACTACACATGCAGAGATCATCATGAACGAAATGAGTGGCTACTCTGACAAACAGATCAATCTGGTCTTGAATTCAAACAAACAATAGCCCAGGCTTTGGATTATATGTCTATAGCCACAATGCAACAAGCTGTAGCCTATATTTGTCACACTTGCCCCAACTGCAGCCTTCCCTGTAGGCATACCAGTAACTGCCAAAATAAAGTTAACACTTGAGTAAACAAGGGATACAACGTATATGTCATGATGTGGGGTGCATTTTCCTGGCATGGTTTAGGTCCACTTGTAGAATCTATGCCAAGGTGCATTGAAGATGTTCTGGCAGCTCATGATGGCGCAACTCCCTTTTAACACACTTTATGTTGGTGTTTCCTTAATTTTTGCAGATACAGTGGCTTGCAAAAGTATTCACCCCCCTTGGCATTTTTCCTTATTTTATTGCCTTACAACCTGGAATTAAAATGGATTTTTGGGGGGTTTGTATCATTTGATTTACACAACATGCCTACCACTTTGAAGATGCAAAATATTTTTTGTGAAACAAACAAGAAATAAGACAAAAAACAGAAAACTTGAGTGTGCATAACTGTTCACCCCCCCAAAGTCAATACTTTATAGAGCCACCCTTGCAGCAATTACAGCTGCAAGTCTCTTGGGGTATGTCTCTATAAGCTTGACACATCTAGCCACTGGGATTTTTGCCCATTCTTCAAGGCAAAACTGCTCCAGCTCCTTCAAGTTGGATGGGTTCTGCTTGTGTACATCAATCTTTAAGTCATACCACAGATTCTCAATTGGATTGAGGTCTGGGCTTTGACTAGGCCATTCCAAGACATTTAAATGTTTCCCCTTAAACCACTCAAGTGTTGCTTTAGCAGTATGCTTAGAGTCATTGTCCTGCTGGAAGGTGAACCTCCGTCCCAGTCTCAAATCTCTGGAAGACTGAAACAGGTTTCCCTCAATAATTTCTCTGTATTTAGTGCCATCCATCATTCCTTCAATTCTGACCAGTTTCCCAGTTCCTGTTTGGTTATTTTTTTCTTTAAGCAATGGCTTTTTTCTGGCCACTCTTCGGTAAAGCCCAGCTCTGTGAAGTGTACAGCTTAAAGTGGTCCTATGGACAGATACTCCAATCTCCGCTGTGGAGCTTTGCAGCTCCTTCAGGGTTATCTTTGGTCTCTTTGTTGCCTCTCTGATTAATGCCCACCTTGCTTGGCAGGTTTGTAGTGGTGCCATATTCTTTCCATTTTTTTATAATGGATTTATTGGTGCTCCGTGGGATCCGTGGGATGTTAAAAGTTTTGGATATTGTTTTATAACCCAACCCTGATCTGTACTTCTCCACAACTTTGTCCCTGACCTGTTTGGAGAGCTCCTTGGTCTTCATGGTGCCGCTTGCTTGATGGTGCCCCTTGCTTAGTGGTGTTGCAGACTCTGGGGCCTTTCAGAACAGGTTTATATATACTGAGATCATGTGACAGATCATGTGACACTTAGATTGCACACGGGTGGACTTTATTTAACTAATTATGTGACTTCTGAAGGTAATTGGTTGCACCAGATCTTATTTAGGAGCTTCATATCAAAGGGGGTGAATACGCACCACTTTTCCGTTATTTATTTTCTAGAATTTTTGGAAACAAGTTATTTTTTTTGTGTATGTCCACTACATGAAATCAATTTAAATTACAGGTTGTAATGCAACAAAATAGGAAAAACGCCAAGGGGGATAAATACTTTTGTGCTTGTGATAAAACTTAATCCACAGTTATTTTGACATTTACATTTTAGTCATTTAACAGACGCTCTTATCCAGAGCGACTTACAGTTAGTAAGTGCATACATTTTCATACTATTTTTTTGATAAACTATTGATCCTCTGTGGCTAAATTATGCTCTCTGGTGTATTTTGAACATTGAGAGTGGGCTCCTGTGGTTGGATAAAAAAGTATAATAATAAAAAATAATGTAATTGTATTTTTTTTTGCCTCTTGGGCACCCTACAGGTGGGGCCCAGCCCCTGACTCACACAATTGACCCGTCACATTTATTTATTATGCATCTTATTTTTATTTTTTTTATTAATCCAATCAAGGCAGGGCCCCTCAGTTAACCATGTGGTCCCCCTACCTCCTCTCCTCCCCCAATCTGATGATTGGCAGAGTGGCAGCAGACTGCAGCAGACTGTCTATACTCATTGAGAGCGTGCTCCTGAGTCTTCCTGTGGTTGGCGGTTGCAGTGAAAAAGTATAAAATATATAATATGAAGGCCCCGTGTAGCTCAGTTGGTAGAGCATGGCGCTTGCAACGCCAGGGTTGTGGGTTCGTTTCCCACGGGGGGCCAGTATGAAAAAAGTATGAAAATGTATGCACTCACTAACTGTAAGTCGCTCTGGATAAGAGCGTCTGCTAAATGACTACAATGAAAATGTCAATAATATATACTGTATATATTTCCTACTTATTTTTTTTGCTGCCTCTTGGGCAAGGGGCTTCAGCCCCGGTAAGCGCCTGCATTATTCTGGCCCTGACTCCACTGGCTTCCAGTCCAAGCTCGCATCCACTACAAGATGGTACTTGCCTATGGAGCAGCAAGAGGAACTGCCCCTCCCTTCTTTCAGGCTATGCTCAAAACCTACACACCCAACCCGAGCACTCAGTTCTGCCACCTCTGGTCTCTTGGCCCGCCCCCCCCCCCATTTTTTTTTTTTTATATAATAATATTGTTTTGTAGTTTGCAGGCTTGTTCCTTCAAGAATGTACCTAATTAAGAAAAGGTACTGCAAGTTCTTACGTGAATCGGGGTACATAATTGGCCATAGCCATGATTGGCAGCTTTGGGGATCAAATCAGAGGCCCCCTAAATGAAAGTTCGTTTTTTGTTTAACCGGTACTATAAAACCAACCACGAGTTGGCGTTGTATGGGAGAATCCATCTTGAAGAGTATTTTCCTGATTGTGTGATCATTAAGCGGCTTTAGGGGATTCTTTTCCATCTTATTTATTTTATTTGTGTAAGTACCATAAGAATAACTATTTTCGTTATTAGGCGTAAATGTGACAGTAATATTTGGATAGCAAAACAGTTACCGTGGCCTTCGCGTTACGTAACGGAGTGGTATGGGTCATGCTAACGGTTATCGGCGCGATACAGTTACATTGTTTGACGATATTTGGTTGTTATATTGTCGGTGCAAGAATGGAAACTTTGTTGCACCCTCATTCGTTGAATCGATTGCCATGTTACGTTTGCATTCTGGAAACATGGCTTTCTGTAAATGTATGGGAGACAATCTTGCCAGCCAAAATGGTGGGGGAATGTATTCACTGGCATAGAAATAAATGGCGAAGCATGTACTGCGAGTGGGTTACATAATTGTACAGGTCCTTTTGTAACAATGTTTTATTTTGTGCAGGAAAGGGAAACCTAACTAGTATAAAATGTCTGACACCGAGCAACAGTTAATGGAAACATCAGAAAACGGCCACGAAGGCGAGGAGGATTTTAACGGAGCCAAAACAGCCGATGAAACGGAAGAGACCGAACCCCTGGATAAAGGCGAGGAAGAGACCGAAGCCTGCATAGAAGACGAGACTGCAGTAGAGGGAGAAGATTCGCAAAATGGTGCCACTGAGGGCGAAGGCGGACAGATCAACGCCAGCAAAGGCGAGGAGGATGCAGGGTGAGTGTAGAAATGTCTTAGATCTCAGCAGAGTGCGAATGGATTGCATCGCTTCTTTGTTTCGTCTGGCTTTGTTGGCGCCATGTGCGGAGCAAGGGGGGATGGGCACTTACAGCAGCGATCAAATGTAACACTCCCTCGCCGGTGATTATCTTTTTGCAGGGCTATATTGTTTATTCTGTTTAGGTCACATAACGGACTGTTTCTGATCAGAGATTTGGGGTTTATGATGGGCCTTCGTGGTTTTGGACATACAGTAAGTAGTAGGCCCAGCCTTCCTACGTCAGCAATGGCCACAGATTTGTAGTAGTACTAGATCAGGGATCATCAACAATTTTTTTCCGGAGCAGTTTGTCGGGGGCCAGAAAATAACTACAAATAATTTGTAGACTGCAAAAAGGCGCATATATATATATATATATTACACACAATATTTGACTAAAACATAATCATCTCAAACCTTGCTTACATTTGTATACGATCATGTATTTCTATTATGCATGGGAACAGATTTCTTAAATTAAAATAACTTGAAGCTGGTTTCCAGGTGTGTTAGTCTTATGTCCAACAATGAAACCCCCCCCCCAAAAAAAAACAACAAATTCAATTTTGCTCAGAACTTGGGGGGCCGAATAAAACCACACACGGGCCAAATTGGTCCTGAGGGCCGCCAGTTGGGGAACCCTGTACTAGATGTTCCCAAACACTTTTAGAGCAGTTGTTACCCAACCATCATATTTAGTCAGTTTTCCTTTTTTCTTTGCTAGGAAAATGTTTGTTGGAGGACTTAGCTGGGACACAAGTAAGAAAGATCTTAAAGATTATTTCTCTAAATTCGGTGAAGTGACGGACTGCACCATAAAGATGGACCAGCAGACAGGCCGGTCAAGAGGCTTCGGCTTTATTCTATTCAAAGAAGCAGTCAGTGTAGACAAGGTAAGATGATGACATATTTTGGGGGTTTGTTACTTTTCTCTAAGAACTGCATGTCGTTTCCATGTGGAATATTACAACTTGGCAACATCATACAACTATTTGCCATTCTTCATTCTCTGACCATTCTTCCTTTTTGTCTAGGTTTTGGAACAGAAGGAACACCGACTCGACGGACGACAGATCGACCCCAAGAAGGCCATGGCTATGAAGAAGGAGCCCGTAAAGAAAATTTTTGTTGGTGGCCTCAACCCAGACACAGACAAGGACGATATCCAGGAGTACTTTGGAACCTTTGGCGAGGTACAGTATCAACATCTCTCTTTGGGGATAACACTGACTTGGTGTTTTAACAGTAATTGTTTTCTCTTTCCTTTGACCTGCAGATCGAGACGATTGAGCTTCCACAGGACCCAAAGACGGAAAAGAGAAGGGGGTTCGTGTTCATCACGTATAAGGATGAAACACCTGTCAAAAAAGTGCTAGAAAAGAAATTCCACAACGTCAGTGGAAGCAAGGTAAAAAATTGTAATGCATTGTGTGTTTGTGCACGGTCTCTTTCAAATTAAGCTCTTGATTTCTGTATAAAAAATAAAATCAGTGGTGGTTTCCTCAGGGAACATGTCACCCTCACATTGAAGATCCATGCAGTAAGTGTGGCAAAGGTTTTTTCCATGTCTGACTTAAGTCTTCATGTTACCGATCTGTTCCAGTGTGAGATTAAAATAGCCCAGCCCAAAGAGGTGTACCAGCAGCAGCAGTTTGGCGGCCGTGGAGGTGGAGGAGGAAGAGGCAGGGGCCGTGGAGGTGAGAATCAACACCAAACACCTGGTGTGGATTTAACCTGGCAAAAAGGGTTCTAAATTGGCTCCTCTCACCCCAGTCCCAAGATCAAAGTAGTTGTTTATATAACTCTGCTCTATGTGCATCTAATCACTGTAACGTAATCTTCTCAGGTCAGGGCCAGAACTGGAACCAAGGTGGTGGATACAACAACTACTGGAACCAAGGCTATGGTAACCAGGGCTACGGCTACAGTGGACAGCAAGGATACGGCGGATACGGAGGCTATGGGAACTACGACTACTCCGCTGGATACTATGGCTATGGGGGTGGCTACGACTACAGTAAGCGATAACCACCCACAACGCAAATGTGAGAAACTTTGTTGGTACTTGTCGTACGGAAGACACTCAGTCCCTTTCTTTCTTGTCCTCCAGACCAGGGCAATGCAGGCTATGGGAAAACTCCAAGACGTGGAGGCCACCAGAGTAGCTACAAGCCATACTGATCACATGTAGTGCAGGTATGCATTTTTTGCATCATCTATGGTGATATGACAATCTAGCTGTAACCATTTGTGCCTTTGACTCCAAAATTTCTCCCATCTAGTCTGATCCCATTCAAACGTTTGTTAACGGGGGGAGTGGGGTGGAATTCATTAATAATGGACTCATTCCATGTGCCAACCATTTAAGATGCATCCCTATAAACACTACTTGATCAATAAGGGTTGAGGTGGTGGTGGTGGTGGTTGACCCAGTATAAGCATTAGGGCCTTTCCGATGGGGTGCTAGGTATGGCAGCTAGGTGTCATGTCCCCTTTGATGTTCTCCTCTCACTGAGTGAGTTTGTTCATTTTAATATAAGTATACAACTGTAAAGTCATTCATAAACATCGTGGTGTCCCTGTGTGTAATACTAAATGCCATTTGGTTATGGTCAGTAACTGTATGCACCATGTTTCTCTCTTAAGGTCTAAAGTAAATAAAGAAAAAAGAAATCCATGGTCCGGCCACAGCGAACATGGGCTCTGGCTTTTCCTTTGGAGTTGGCAGAAATGTGGACTCATACTCCATATGTACAGATCAAGTGAGGAACTGGGGAAGCAAATGTCACTTTTCCACCTTTTTTTTTATTTTATATTGTTTTGTGTCCATTTACATTTCCAGAGATGGAAATGTTATTTTAACTGTACTTTTTGGTACCTTTTTGAATCTAATGTATTGTATGGTTGTATTTTACATGTCTACTGGATTTGCCAACAAACAGGAGCAGAGCTTTCAGAAGCTTTTGAAATAAAACGATAGCATTTTTTTGTTTCTAGGCTTAGTAAAACATTTTCCCTTGCTGAGTGTTTGATGCGAGTTGCATGGCTTCAGATGTGGGGTGAGGTGAGATAAGGGATTAAAACTAATCAAAGGTTTCATTGTAAGCTTGTCTAGTGAATGTTTGCATTTGGCTAGTAGACGAGGACAACCAGCATACGTTTTTTGGCTTTTTAAGGAGGTCCCCCCATCTTCTCTGTAATTTTAAGTGGCTTTACTAGTGTTATACGATACAGTACAACTGAGCTCAAGCCTGTTAATGTAAGTAGACGGCCTTCCCTTTCCCTCTGGAAACTCATTCCTCTAGTGTCTTGGGTAAATTGGTAGAAATAAACTTTTGGTTTATATTACACGTGGATCCTTTTGTTATTATTTATAAACCCCCTAATGCTGTTTTGGTTACTGTTAACTGCTTTGTACTGTTAAATGGATTGCTTGTCCTGTCTTGGGTAAGGTTAAAATCGTGCCGTATGGATGGATGCCTCTCTGGGATGCGGTGGCAGATACTTTGCTGGCAGAGGGATAACTTGCTCAGTCAATGGGGTGAAGGCTGTACTACGTAGCCTACGTGTATATTTACTTTCCAAGCTAGCTGATCTTACCCCACTATGGATCTGAAGTTGAACTACAGTATTTGGTATGTTTTTATAGGTGGATAAGTCAAGGTAATAACTGTAGTCCTCTGGTAAGTGCACGCCCACTCCCATACATTATTTTTGTCTGTCATCAATACAGTCATATGTACTTGTGTACAAAGTCACTGTTGCCATGCAATGTTGCAGTTATCAAGATCAGCTGGAAGTGACCTCATCAGTCTGCCTGGGCCGGTGTCCATTTCACGTCAAGTAGGCTGTTTACACAGGCAGCCCAATTCTGATATTTTTTTCCACTGATTGGTCTTTTGACCAATCACAGACCGTTTCGCTGAGCTGATTGGTCAAAACACCAATTTAGTGGGGGGAAAAATATCAGAATTTAACTGCCTGTATTAACGCAGCCTAACATACATCAGTAGACCTTTGTTGTGAGCACTTCTTGATCCGGTAGTTGCTATGTGATTGTATCTATTTCCACAGGGAAGTATAAATGTGAGGAGGATCACAACGTTAGTGTTTTATAGTACAAATGTATTGCCTTTCTGTTGCATATGTCACTGCTTCTCTTCTGTCCCTCATGCAGGATCAAAAGCAGTCACTAATTCCACTTCATGAACTATCACAAACCATTCTCGTGTTGGTAGATCTAGTAGTGTAATCTTAATGTCTTAACGATTTGGCTTTTTATCCTTCATTGTGGTATGGATCTGTGAGATTGGCTGTGTTGAATACGTCTGCATTCCTTCCCTTGTCTTCCTCCATGATGACTCCAGTTTGTCTGAAAAGCAAAAGACCCAAGTTCTGGGACCGTATCCACAAAGCGCCTCAAAGTAGGAATGCTGATATAGGATCAGTTTTGCCTTTTAGATCATAATAAATACAATTTCTATGGACAGATCCTAGATCAGCACTTCTACTCTGAGATGCTTTGTGGATACGGGCCCGGTGCTCTGCCCTATCAAATCCAATGTCTGAGAAATGCACTTTGGAAACGGTTAGTGAAATCTACTGGAAGAGTACGTCACACTAACAACAACACTACCTCTGACTCTTCTGATTGTGACCAATTCTTACTGTCTGATGCAATTAAATCTTTCTACAGGTTTGTACAAACCTTAGAAATCTCCATTGTCCAGTTTTTGATGACTGCTCTCCATGTCTGAAAAGGAAAAGTAGAATTGTCAAAAGGTCCCCGCACACCTGCTTCGGTGGTGTGTGGTATGGCTCCATCAAGACTTTGTGCCATTGACCTGGTTCAAAAATAGTCCCCCCAACACTTCTGTGTAAGCAGATATAAATCATCAGGTTGGTGTAAGCTCCCTGAACCTTAGGTTCAGCAAACACTGCAGTTGTGGAGGCTAAGTCGAGTTGGGTTTAAAAGTTTTGTTGAGACTGGGTATTCTGTCTCAAGTATAATAAACGTATACTACACAACTGTGTAAATGTATTGTAATAAGTCAAGGCTATAGGCTAAGTGTTCCAGTCACCTGTGAGAATGTGGTGTATCCTGTCTGCCACCAAGTCTGCATCCTCCATACTGAAGCACATGGGAGGTTTAAACTTGACAACGTTCTCCCAGGGGCCGTCTGTACTGACACAGATACACTCCTCTTTCAATCTGGAATGGGAGACGAGACCAAAGGATATTTCTGCTTACAGGTTCTCTTTTAAAAGTAATGCAAAGATTTATACCAAAATAAGAATAGTGTTAACTCTTCACTGAATTGTGACTGCAGCAAACACTGACACACTTTGATATGATTGTATAGTTGTTGTTTCATAAGGCCTTGTAGCAGTGAATGCCCACAGTCTGACCTCTCACCTTCTGACAACTTGCGCTGCTGCGTCTGTAGCTGGGGTCCTCTGTTCTTTGTCGGTGACCATCTCCAAGCCCACAAACAGTCCCACTCCACTGCCAAGAGTAAACACAAAACCAGTTATTGTATACCGTATTCAGCCAGGATGCATCATGCTGTAGACTAGACTATGAGGTTGGCAGCAGGGTAGTTATTATAGAGACATTCCCTTCACATAATCCATGTCATAGGCCCCCTACCGGACGTCTCCAATGATTGGATGTTTGGTCTGTAGCTGTTTCAGCAGGTCCAATAGGTGCCCTCCTACTCGTGAGGAGTTCCCCCTCAGGTCCTCCTTCTCAATCACGTCCAGGACAGCCAGGCCGATGGCACACGACACTGGGTTACCGCCAAACTGCACACAGTCACAGGAGAACCACAAACCATGATTAGGGATGAGACTTCTAATTTGAGTTACACATGTACAGCATTCACTTTTGTGCATGGTTAACATTACTTAGTAAGGCAGAATATAGGTTATAACAGCCACCAGTTTCTCACGGTATTGAAGTACTCCACTCCGTTGGCTGTGAAGGCCCCAGCGATCTCCACTGTGGTTGCTACACATGCCAGGGGATGTCCGTTGCCCATCGGCTTGCCCATTGTCACTATGTCAGGGCTGAAATCATCACCCTGCAGCTGGAAGGCCCAGAAATGGCTCCCTACACGCCCAAAACCTGTTTGTATCTCGTCTGCCACAAACACTCCCCCTGCAGAGCGCACATATCTGTGGAGACAGAAAGATACCATCACTCACTGTCACGTCAAAGATTAAAGCAATAGCCTTTACTATCACAATGGCCTCAATCCTAACTCAAATGTGGATTTGGCTCTAAAGCCCTTTTCTTCACCCATGAGAGAATGGTACAGTATAATAGTGCACTAATATTGTATGCTCAGAAGAAGTACCTACTCTGCTACTTTGGTTGAGTATCCTTTGGGCAAGAGGATTTGGCCTCCAACACTGGGCAACGACTCAGCAAAAAATGCAGAAACCTTTAGGTTGCAAGTCAGTTTTGAGTTATTAGATCCATAGAATTAGTACAATACTTATAAACATTGTTATTACACTGTTACTACACTATCAGCATTACACCCTGCTGGTTGTCCAAATTGAGACTATTTTCTAACTGTTCTTTTCCATGCAAAACCCATTGTATTTACCGTACCTTGCGACCTTTTTGGTGCACCTTGTCTATCACGTCCTTCACAGTATCTGAATATGCCTGGGCTGGGTTGGGATGGTCCTCTCTGAATATACCTCTATAGGTGTCTGGTATGGGTGCCTGTAAGGATTAAACGGGAAAATAACAATATTAGCTTTTTGTAGCACACGGCAAAAAGGCATGAAATATGTCTCCTCTTACATACCACGTGAACCCACTCTTTCTGTCCTGTCAGCTTCTGGAACTTGTATGGACTGATATCGATGAGCGAAGTCAGGTGCCCATGATATGCACTAGTATGGAGGAGGGGGAAAGAGGAAGGCGTACATTTAGAGAAGAAATCTACTGAGACATGCAAATGAAAAGGAAGCAGAACAGTAGTTGTTTTTGTGTGATATGTGAGAAATCTTACTGGTCAAGCACAATGACGTCTTCATGTTGGGTGTACTGGCGGGCCAAGCGTAGTGCTAGATCATTGGCCTCTGAACTGTTGGAGACATATATATTACATTATTCTTCCTATATCTTACGCAGATGTCATTGGGGCTGTGTTTCAGGAGGAAGTCTTAGGTTGTAGGGCATGGTGTCTTACCCTGAGTTGACAAAATAGAAGACACACAGCTTGTCGGGCAGAGTGGCAGCGAGGCGGTCGGCATACTGAACTATACTGTCGTGAAGGAAGCGCGAATTGGCATTCAGAAGCTCCATCTGCGTCGTGGCTGCTTGTGTGATGCTGGGATGACAGTGACCCACTGTAGGTGCATAGGTGCAAGAACAATCCAACATTCTCAACATTTCGTTACATACAATTACCACTAGGAGGTACTGTCATGTTGATTATGTTGTGGTACTACTGTAAAGTTCAAAGGGCTTTGGACTGTGTCCTTTGCTCTCACAAAATAGTATTCACCAAATACAACAGAATATTTATCAAATCAGATGCATTAAAAGAATGTCACCAATAGAGAGAAATAGTAATGGCGTCTTTTTGTAGGCACTAACTCCGCCACGGAGTTCAATTAGATCATCTTCATCAGGTCACTTTTGGTGAATTTTGAAGCATTTACCCAGTGGGCATACGACGTGATAAAGATGTCTTTTACTGGTTGAAATCTGGTCAGGACGTTTTACAACCAGATCACAACCAGATTAAGATGTATGTTAGACGTTATGAAAAAAAGACGTCTTATTTTGGTAGATTGTTATTGAAATCTGATTGAACTACTGACCAGTTATCTAAATGCTACTCAATGAATAGACATCAATCTATATAAACATGGGCATAGTGTTTGTGGGCCATGCACCCATTGCATATAAGACATTAGAAGCATTACAATTATTAAAATTGGAGTAATGTTCTTTTTCAGCAGGGTTTGCATGATTCAGACTTGGACTCGGGGGGCTTCATGCGAGCTGAGCTCTTCCCGAGTCCGGCAGAACAAGATTACTCTGGGCTCCGGCTATTGGTACCCAGGCCGAGTCCACTTCAGCTTATCCGGCCCGATTAACTTTTTCAGGAGTAGGGCCATTTAAGGTTGTTTTTCTGCAGGTGTTGAAATGCCAATTTTACAAAAAACAAATAAATGTGATCAATTTCACCCCCAAGTCATGGAATTTGATAGGTCATTAAAAGCAAAAATGTGTGACTGTCTCTGCGGTCCTATAGCTATCAGAGATGGTCCTTAATTTAGAGAATCTCCAAATCTATAAATGCTTTTGGTTTTACTACAGGCTATGGCAGTGTTTTTCGTAGTTACAGTCCACCCAATTGAAAAGTGTATATTCACGTCCATAACATTTACATTTACATTTTAGTCATTTAGCAGACGCTCTTATCCAGAGCGACTTACAGTTAGCGCATACATTATTTTATCGAACCCACAACCCTGGCGTTGCAAACGCCATGCTCTACCAACTGAGCTACATAACATTTGTTCTAGGCAATAAACATGCACAATAATACAGGATACCCTTACAAAAATGCACTGCCGTTAAAACACAGTAAAACTGCAGTACAGTGAAATAATGGTTGTTTAATCAATGATATCTGGTAGCTTGCTGTGAATTCTGTTTTGAAGTTCTATTATGACTAACTAATTTTGTTTTCAGAATTTAAGAAATAACACATAGGCCTGTCTTTTATTTCAATATCATACTACAATCCACCAGGATTTACAAAACCCTATTTTTAATCACAATTATTTCCACAAAAAATAATAATTATTGCACCTGAATTTGATCCTGAAAATATGACTATTATATTGTCCCTTAAAGCTTTTAAGCAATTAACATAATGCAGCAGTAATTTTATTTTAATTTCAGTAGCTAAATAAGGAGGTAGGCATATCAGTTCCAGCTAAAAGTTGGATTGGAATCTGTGCCTCGCGCGCAGTAATAGATCTCTGCGTGCAGGCAGCCTGCTTGCTTGAGCGCATCGGTCAACAACAGTTTCTGAAAATGTACACAAAAAACTTCTAAAATATTTAACTTCTAAGTGGTAGTCCCTGTTCTCCTGCATTCTTGTTTAACTTTTGTAGGTAATGGGGCAGTTTGTTGGGGAGAAGAACATCAAGGAAATATTTGCTAGCTAGCTAACTAACTAATTTAGCTGGCTAATTTTAACTAGCTAACGTTAGCTCTCTGGCTAATCCTCAATTTTTACCTGTTGTAGGTGTTGGTTGTAGCTAGCTAGCTAACATTTTAACATTTTAATATCTGTTTAGTTAATGATAGCAAATGTGTATATTCTCTGCGTGTGTGTGAGAGAGAGATGATCACAATAACTTTAGAAAACATTGTCATGTCAAAGTTGTCATGCTAGCTATGTGTGTGTGTTCTGTGTGAGAGAGGGGGGAGAGAGATGATGATTATGATCACAATAACTTATAGAAAAGATTGTCATCATGTCAACATTTTGTCATGCTAGCTGTGTGTGTGTGTGTGTGTGTGTGTGTGTGTGTGTGTGTGTGTGTGTGTGAGAGCGAGATGGTACATGAATACATACAGTTGAAGTCGGATGTGCAAACAGAGGGAAAAAAAACTCTGGACCACCTTTACTCCACACACAGAGACGCGTACAAAGCTCTCCCTCGCCCTCCATTTGGCAAATCTGACCATAAAGTGAGGGAAAAAAGTATTTGATCCCCTGCTGATTTTGTACGTTTGCCCACTGACAAAGACATGATCAGTCTATAATTTTAATGGTAGGTTTATTTGAACAGTGAGAGACAGAATGACAACAACAAAAATCCAGAAAAACGCATGTCAAAAATGTTATAAATTGATTTGCATTTTAATGAGGGAAATAAGTATTTGACCCCTCTGCAAAACATGACTTAGTACTTGGTGGCAAAACCCTTGTTGGCAATCACAGAGGTCCGACGTTTCTTGTAGTTGGCCACCAGGTTTGCGCACATCTCAGCAGGGTTTTTGTCCCACTCCTCTTTGCAGATCATCTCCAAGTCATTAAGGTTTCGAGCCTGACGTTTGGCAACTCGAACCTTCAGCTCCCTCCACAGATTTTCTATGGGATTAAGGTCTGGAGACTGGCTAGGCCACTCCAGGACCTTAATGTTCTTCTTCTTGAGCCACTCCTTTGTTGTAGGGGTGTAACGATTCGTTTTAACAACGATTCGATTTGTATCACGATTCGTGGTTGTCGATACGATTCAAGGACGATATTGGTTCATTTAGAACGATACGATCCGAAACGATTCAGTGACTTGAAATCGATTCAGTAACCTTTTAGCCAAAAATTCAACCAGTGTGACTGAAATAAATACCTGGATACTGGACAGTGCAGGTGAAGTTTCCTAGATTCCCGTTTCTTGTAAGGACCGCAATGGTGGCTTGATAATTTCTCGCTCGTCGGCTTCTCCTCTGTCGTCCGCCATGCTATGTTTTGTTGTCTTGGCGCCTTTGCGCTGCTGCTGGCGCGATGACGTCACGGATAGGCAGACTGAATCGAGTAATGTTTAAAGCCTTTATCATTAAAAGTGCTAAGAAAAAACATCCATATAAAGTCTGACGTGCTTAAATCCAATGGGTTATTTCCTAGTATCGATACAATCGATTTATTACATTTTAAAACGATTTTAGATCGATATATGTTGTCCAAAAGGCCAACTCGCCGAGCACAGATCGATGTAGTTGGATCATAGGAATATAAATCGATACATCGATGTAGTAGATGGATCGTTACACCCCTACTTTGTTGCCTTGGCCGTGTGTTTTGGGTCATTGTCATGCTGGAATACCCATCCACGACCCATTTTCAATGCCCTGGCTGAGGGAAGGAGGTTCTCATCCAAGATTTGACGGTACATGGCCCTGTCCATCGTCCCTTTGATGCAGTGAAGTTGTCCTGTCCCCTTAGCAGAAAAACACCCCCAAAGCATAATGTTTCCACCTCCATGTTTGACGGTGGGGATGGTGTTCTTGGGGTCATAGGCAGCATTCCTCCTCCTCCAAACACGGCGAGTTGAGTTGATGCCAAAGAGCTCGATTTTGGTCTCATCTGACCACAACACTTACACCCAGTTCTCCTCTGAATCATTCAGATGTTCATTGGCAAACTTCAGACGGCCCTGTATATGTGCTTTCTTGAGCAGGGGGACCTTGCGGGCGCTGCAGGATTTCAGTCCTTCACGGCGTAGTGTGTTACCAATTGTTTCCTTGGTGACTATGGTCCCAGCTGCCTTGAGATCATTGACAAGATCCTCCCGTGTAGTTTTGCGCTGATTCCTCACCGTTCTCATGATCATTGCAACTCCACGAGGTGAGATCTTGCATGGAGCCCCAGGCCGAGGGAGATTGAGAGTTATTTTGTGTTTCTTCCATTTGCGAATAATTGCACCAACTGTTGTCACCTTCTCACCAAGAAGACAGATTACCAGGACGTGTACTCCAAGCATGCGCTGACCAACTGGCAAGTGTCTTCACTGATATTTTCAACATGTCCCTGACAGTCTGTAATACCAACATGTTTCAAGCAGACCACCATAGTCCCTGTGCCCAAGAACACTAAATGCCTAAATGACTACCGACCCATAGCACTGACGTCTGTAGCCATGAAGTGCTTTGAAAGGCTGGTCATGGCTCACATCAACACCATTATCCCAGAAACTCTAGACCCACTTCAATTTGCATACCGCCCCAACAGATCCACAGATTATGCAATCTCTATTGCACTCCACACTGCCCTTTCCCACCTGGACAAGAGGAACACCTACGTGAGAATGCTATTCATTGACTACAGCTCAGCGTTCAACACCATAGGGCCCTCAAAGCTCATCACTAAGCTAAGGACCCTGGGACTAAACACATCCCTCTGCAACTGGATCCTGGACTTCCTGACGGGCCGCCCCCAGGTGGTAAGGGTAGGTAACAACACATCTGCCACGCTGAACACGGGGGCCCCTCAGGGGTGCATGCTCAGTCCCCTCCTGTACTCCCTGTTCACCCATGACTGCATGGCCAGGCACGACTCCAACACCATCAATACGTTTGCTGACGACACAACAGTGGTAGGCCTGATCACCAACAATGATGAGACAGCCTATAGGGAGGAGGTCAGAGACCTGGCCGTGTGGTGCCAGGATAACAACCTCTCCCTCAACTTGCTCAAGACAAAGGAGATGATTGTGGACTACAGGAAAAAAAGAGGACTGAGCACGTCCCCATTCTCATCGACAGGGCTGTAGTGGAACAGGTTGAGAGCTTCAAGTTCCTTGGTGTCCACATCACCAACAAACTATCATGGTCCAAACACACCAAGACAGTCGTGAAGAGGGCACGACAAAGCCTATTCCCCC